GTTAAAAACTGTGACTGATATTTTCACAAATGGTTGTCCTGTTTACGTGTGTTATATTCCCACAACATTAAGCTACAATAATGGACAGCAATCGCAAAATACATTGCCTATTGAATCACGATCTTAACTTTATAGAGTCAGAGGAAATACTGTGGCATAATACAGAAAAACATAACTTTTGATGCTTGCTTTGCTAAAAGATGCAAGACTTGACGTGTCAACGAGAGTATACTATCCACGCAGAATAGAAGTAGGAATCTATTTGTACACCTTCTAATCGTTTCCACACAAAAACATGGTGACTAAGTTAAGAGGGGTTTGTTATGTTATTGATCACATTTTAACTCTTTGTTAATATTGTAAATGGGAGGACGCCCCATTCTACGAATTAAATGTATTCTAGTACATCTGGGAATAAATGTGGTATAGAAAATCGCTTGTTCCAAGAACGGGTGAGTCAACAGAATCGAAAATTTCACTTTGAATTAACTGCTTCATAGAACACGGGCGACAACGCTCCACCCATTTATGGGATATTCGATCCCTAACCCCCTTGGATACAGGAAGAGACGCGAAACCCTAGACTGCAGACCCCAACCCTCCCGCCATCGGTTGTTTACCACCAAAACCCGGTCGTAGCCGGCGGTCTAAAAATAAACCCGCAACATCCCGGGAAAACAATACCCTAGCGACAGGTACACCGTACACCGGCCAACCCCGGCCCTGAGGTACGACGACCAATAAAAACAAGGGCTGCGGCTTTCACCTGACCTCGCTCTCAGTGCTGCCACAGTACCGGTACGATATCTTTGTAAAATAACTATCGTAGTTGTACAGCGATTATCGTATACACAGCCAGTACGCGATTCCCTCTCAGGGGTGCCAATCTACAAAATAGTTTCCAAGATAATTGCACGGATATAAAAAAATAAAAATACCCCACCAGCAATCCTGCAGACTAAGCGAAAAATGTATTTGCATAATTTGATTTTCAATTACAGTAAATCTATTTCAATAACATTAGGATTAACCTAGGTTTGCTGCTACAGGGTGGGTGATGAAATGTGTTCTTTAGTAAAATATCAATAGCTTAGTAGGCCTACTGTATAAAATAGGTACGTAAATAGATTTGCCAAGTTGGATCAACATATATATCCATAAACATATATCTTCCCTATAGGGAAATTCACTAACAATCACACTACAACAGTTTACTTATTTTCCATAAGAATAACACGGGAATTTTGAATTTACAACCGCCAATTTTTTTACCCTTCATCTTGATCTTATGAACATTTTTGGACAGTAGAGCATCGGAGCTAAAAATAATTTTAGAAATTTAAGTTTTGAACAATTCTTGGAAAGTATCAGGACATTGGGCCATGGAGTTTTAGCAACTGAAAATGAATTAGGCCTACATAGTATGTAGTATCCATAACTTACTTGATAATTTCAAACATTTGTATCGAAGATTATTGTTTAATAATAGGCCTTAGGAATTTATATTGTCGTAGTAAATGGGGTTCAACCAATGACAAAAATGGTATGGGTATAAGTTTCCATACAGGCTAACAAAAACCTTGACGTCCGGAGGGGGCAATTGTTAAAGCCCATTGCTTGTTTATATGCAATGCATATGTTGTATGTTTTTGTTGCTTAATTTGATAATCTGTTTCAAGTGCTAAATCGACTTAAATGACTTACAATACGTTTATAGATCAGAAATGCAAAATTTTACTGTTCTTTCGCCTTTTTGGCCCAACCATGATCACTTTTAGGCCTGATTACCTAGAAGCGTAGCCTAACTTAATCTAGTAGCCTTACTATCAAGATAACTTCGAACATATTTTGGGATTTAACTTGTGATTTATCATTTTTAACCCAACTTTTCTAAGATATTCCTCTGTCTAACTTAGGGATGAAAAGCCAGGCACTAAGTTCAAGTTACAAGGTACACGCAGCTTGTTCTGAATTTGTTTAAACTTTGCATCATTATTATTATAAGCCTAACTCCCCATCATTATTATGTTTAACTTAATTTATAATCACAAGCTAACTTAGCACAAGCCTATAAGTTCAGTAGCCTTTGTCCTGTCTTCAGCCCACTTATCACAAAAGTTTTAAGTAAAGTTAACTTAAGTTCTACATTTGTAGTTGTAAAAAAATCAAGGTAAAGAGGTGATTGTGGATTCTGGATCTGTAAGCCAACATTTCAATGACTATTTTGTAGATATCGTTAAGAGAGATGCAGTAGAAAATGAGCTTTTTAAACTTGTTTCAAAACCAGGGTACTGATTTTATCAATAGCCCTACTCACTAGGAAGTTCCACTAACTATTAGTAATGAATCTGTTGTTTATATCATAAATAGCTTAAACAACAAATAAAGCTCTTCTGGCTGAGACAGAATATCTCCAAATTTGTTAAAGAAATACAAATCTGAACTGGCTCCTATTTTGGTGTATTTGATTTAAACAGTGTTATCAACATCTATCTTTCCAGATCAACTTAATTGTTAAACCATTGTATAAGAAGGGAGTAAAGACAGATGTGCAGAATTATCTGCCTATTTCTCTCACGTCTACTTTAGGTAAAGTAATCGAGAAGTTTGCCCTTGGGTGCCTAATACAATTTTTTGATGAACACAACATCTTGTCAGATTTTCAGCATGGATTTTGGATGGGTCGGAGCACTATCACAGCTGCTGTTGATTTTTTTCACACTGCTCTTAAAAAGCTTGATGAAGGTTGTAGAGTAGCAACGCTTCTGCTAGACCTTTCGAAGGCTTTTGATCAGGTTGACCATTCTATTTTATAGGCAAAACTGATTGGCTGTAAATTTCCAGGATGGTTGGTGAGTCTGGCGGAATCTTATTTAAAAAATCGCCAACAATGCACCACACTTTCTTTTGATGATGGTATGTCTGAAACACTGGTGGTAAATTCAGGGGTTCTGCAGGGCTCAATTTTAGGACCTTGTCTGTAGGCTATATACCGTAGTTTATGTAAATAGTTTTAATGTCATGGATAATGTTTTTAGCATGTACGCAGATGATACTTCTGGGCTGTGCTGGGTAAACAATATGGTAGGTAAATCCTAACCCTTTGAGGTCGAATTTTCCCCCCATTTTTCAGGGAGTATAGTTTGCCATTCGAGTAGTCGGGAAAATCGTGCCCGGCGACTTATACTCACCCGAACCGCAAAGATAAACTTTTTTGATATTTTTCTTGTGAGTATAAGTCGCCATTTCGAGAAGTCAGGAAAATGGCGGGCATCAACCTATACTTGCCATTCGACCTTAAAGGGTTAAGGCTTTAAGTATTAAACAATTTTTCTGAAGCTGACAATGTTTTTTTTTTATTCAAAGGTAAACTTAAGAACTGATTTTGTAAATTTCTCAATTGGTCGCAATGTTTCCGCTTTTAGCATTTCAATGTGAAGTTAAGACTCTGGTTAGTAGGCCTAAACCCTAATGATTTTTATATCTTTCTTGGAATATCTTTTTACAACCATTTTACATGGACACATTTGATCGAGTTGGTGCTAAGGTCTTGAGTGGTATTTCTTTGGTAAGAAGACTTTCAAACTATTTGGACTGTGAAACGTTAAGGTCAGTGTATTTTCGTGTGGTGTATCCATGTCTGGCTTATCTTGGTCTTGTCCTGTGGGGAGGTTCTTTTCACACATAGGCTACATCAAAAGAATTTTTCTATTGCAAGAGCTGTAGCCTATGTTTGGTAGCAAAAGTTAGCTCAAGGACCCCTAGCAGAGGCATTTTTGTGTCACACAACATTATGACTTTGTACGCAACGTACCTATGTATACCAGGTGATATGTTTGGATAAATTTAGCCGCTTTTCTGGTACTGTAATTTAATTTCTAATGTAGGACAAATACATGACCATAACACTAGACAGTCTAAGTTAATGATTTTTTCATAGTAAAAAAAACAGTTCAAAAGGACAGAGAATAGCCCGTGTCAAGGGAACAATGTTTTTCCATAAATTACCAAAGTAGGGAAGAAACTAGAAGGTAAAAACTTCAAAATGGAAATAAAAAATTGGCTTATTAATAAATGCCCAGTCTTGGAAATTTTAATTAAGTTGAAGGTAAGTTATGGCTATCGTATAAGTAGGATAGATGGTTTTTGTTTGCCTCAACAGGATTTTTTCATTGTAGAGTAGAAAGCATGGCTTTGTTAACTTTCTAACTTTTAAAGTCAGTTTTTTTGCATGGTTTGCAATTGCACTGTATGATATATGATAGGTACTTATTTTATAATTAAGCTATTTTGGCGATTGCAATGAGTTAGGCCTATTTACTTAACTTATTTCCATGTTAAAAGCAATATTAAAGACATTTCATTTCATCGACAAGGCGCGAACTAAAGTTACATCGGTAACTTAAAAAACTTAAGTACCGGTAACTTAAGTTTAAGTTAACTTAATTAATTACAGCCTTAGGAATGTTGACAGGAACAGTGCTGGCTGATGGCTGGTCAAAAGGAAGCAATTCAGCTAGTTTTGGCAACTCAGGGCTGAAAATAAACGAGGGACACAGAATAAACAAGTTAAGTAAGTTACTTAATCCTGGATCAAACTTTTCAAGAAAATCTGCAGCTAAGTCCCACTCCACTGGATGTCACAAGGTAGCCTATCCTATCCTATATCAAGCGAAATGGCAAGGAAATGTAGAAGCTTGAGAGAACATAAACTTAGGATATTCTTTAATTGAAAAGGTTAACAAAAACAATTTCAGCTCGTTCAAAAATCATTTTCAGTTTATGAAGAAGTTTCCTCTCTATGCTGGGATGTCCAAAGCACTTCGATATATTAATATGAATGTAGCCTAGGTTATGTCTGAAGAGGGCAGAAACAACAATAACAAACATAAGTTAAACATGACTTCAAGCTTAGGAACTTCTGAAATAAAAGGATGTTAGTTTTTCTAAGCTCTAAAACACAGTTTAAACAAGCAAGCATATTATTTTTTATAACATACCGTTTGAAGTGGTCTCTGATCCGATCTTCACGGATGTTCTCGGGCAAATTTCCAACCCAAAGGTGACGAGTCTCTCTAACCATCTTGATCTGGATTCTTCATTGGGTTAGGCTATAAGTATTCACGTAAAATCACATAAACTAATTTTAACACTCACTTGCACATCATAAAACTATCAACAAAACATCTCTTCACTTCACTACACCAACTAACCACTTTAGTCTACATAAACAGCGTCACTACACTCGGGCGGGAATCGAGAAACCTCCTTCCTGCCTGTACGTAACAGAATAATTCTTTGTAAAAGTAACGCAGCGCTTCGGAGCGAGTCGGGCGAGTCCACGTCTCAGTTGGAGGGGAGGAAGGTTCGGGGAGGGGAAACAGGTCGAACTACAGAACGCAGAACAATCAACCGACGACCTACCATCCTGAACTACAATCATTTTCCTAATTTTATGCTTATAGAATCTCAATAAAGCTCAATTTTGCATTGTTTCTACATCTATTTGTGTTTCCTTTATTGTTTTGTAACAATTAGAGTTTGTGTTTATAGAGAGGGTTGTTAGTCATACTTTCTGTTATTGTTTACTTTTTTGTGTAACAAATAAGTTAGAGTAACAATAACATAATACTGTATTGTGCAGTTGCATAGAGTGATTTACCCTTTATACAGGATCACAGCAAAAATCTGTGCATTCGTTTTTGCATTCAATTAATTATGTGTTTGGAGACATACGGTCAGCCTTACATTTCAATATTCTGTCTAAAATATATTATTGATCAAAACTAAAATTTGTTTCGAGATGCAATTAAAAAAATTCAATTTACAACTCTTTCGTACCTTTCTTCGAAAAAAGGGAAACATGTTACAAAGGTGCACGTAGGCCGATATAAAGCCAACATTTTAATGTTCGTTGCCATGTGTACAAACAAAAAATACAAATAAAAAATAGTGACGCTTCGGTTTCATAAAAGATCCCCAATAACCATGACTAAAAAAAATGGAGTGTTCTTGTGGATCAAATTATATTATGAAGGGTAGTTTTATGTCATCAGTTTTATAGAGTGAGTTTTGCTATCTACTACTAAGTAGTAAGTTTAGTATTTTAATTATTTAACTCTTGCATCCAACACTTAAACAATTTTCAAACAAAAAACAAATAACTGTAAATCACAATATTTTGTACCCTCGTTACTTGTTCTCTTGTATTTGTAACCGAAGAGTAGATCAAAGTTATCAGATACAATCAAAATACCCCCGCCGCACCAAACCTGCAGACTAAGCGAATTTCACACAATATTTTGTACCCTCGTTACTTGTTCTCTTGTATTTGTAACCGAAGAGTAGATCAAAGTTATCAGATACAATCAAAATACCCCCGCTGCACCAAACCTGCAGACTAAGCGAATTTCAACTTGTCTGATTACATTTTTACTAAAATATTTCCATAACTTAAGTTATATATTTCCAATTTAAATAACATCAGATTTAATGAGTGCTTAGGTTTGCTGCTACGGGGAAGGTAAAAAGTTTTTTTTACAATATGTCAATAGTATAGGATGAAATAAATAAATTTGCCAAATTGTATCAACATTATATCCATAAACAAGTAGGCCTAAATTACAACAGTTTTCATTTTCTCCATAAGAATAACATGGGAATTTTAAATTACACTTTTTTTAATTTTCCCCGTGACCGTTAGGCATACAAAAGCACTTCAATATACTAAATTATTTCTTTTTTTAGTTCTACAAAATGGTTGAGAAAGAAAATACAAAATTTGTTGTTTTTAGGTAAAAAAATGGGAAAACCCCATTTTTACCCCATAAAATCCCCCATAGACCCCTGTTCCCATGGTCCGATTATGCTAGTTCGCGAACTCGTTCGAATAAACGTAGGTTTACACGTTTGTACCAAATTTCATCAAAATCTGATCATTTTTGCTCGAGTTATCGCGCTAGGGACATATATAAATATATATATGTATATAATTTAATGTTTTCTCTTTTAGCTAATTTCCCATATAGGGAATAAGCTATTACCGTAGGTCTCATGGTAAGACCTAGACCCGGGACCGATTTTCTTTTTAGTTTTGAGGTCCCCAGAGGCAAAAAAACACCATCCGTTAAAATTCATATATAAATATATGGAGATAATACAAATAACCCTGCCGCGGCGCAGCAAACCTGCAGACTAAGCAAATTTGATACAAATATAAACAACCAAACTATAAATGCTACAACAGTTTACTTATCCTCCATAAGGATAACATGGGAATTATTAATTTACATTTATTTGATTTCATTTCATCCGTAACCATACAGCCATAAAACACACTTTTATATACTAAATTTGTTTTTAAGCTCTTCAAAAAGAGAAACTGGGAAATTCTATGTTTTGGGGGTCAAAAATGAGAGAACCCTATTTTACTTCATAAAACACCCCACAAACCCCCGTTTCCAAAGTCCGATCATGCTGGTTCGTGAACTCATCCAAGTTTATCCCATCCTTCATCTTCAAGCCAAATTTGTCACCAAAATCGTACCAAAATTACTCAAGCTATCGCGTTCACGGGCGTATATATAATATATATAATTATATAACATTTTAAACGAATTGGCCTACTGTTTTTTTGCCTCTATGTACATAAAAATGAAAAGTATATTGGCCCTCGCTTCAGGTACCGGAGTTTTACTCGCCCCTGTTCATATAACTAGAGACCTAGGGTTCAGGCAATTTTAGACGTGGCTATAATATAGTTTGTCTGCAGTATCAAAAGTCAATTTTGCATCTAGGCTCTAATAAAAAAAAAGTGTAAATAAAAACATCACCAATATATTTAATGAATATTGGTTATGTTTTTATTTTAAATTTTATTCAACCCAATATTACAAGTTCTTCTTGAAGATCTGAATAGTTATTCATTCTATAGTATATTATGCTCAACTGTTTAATCCGATTGTTCTTTCCTTTTGTTTTGTATTTCTAATGTGCTTTCTCGCTGACGGACAGTCATCATGAATTTTAATCCTTATATAATACGTGAAGGCGATTTCTACAAAACACTACTCCTCCGTTAATAATGGACGGATTTTTACAAACGACATGTCAAAATAAAGTATATTTGTGTAGACGCCCCCTTTCACCAATTCCTGTAGTAAAAATCCTCTGGCTGTGCCCCACAGGCCATCAAAGTTGGAGTTTCTCCCATAAGATTAACATGGGGGAATCTAAATATTTAATTGGAAACTTTGTCTCCTCTTATTTGAGAGAACGACTGGCCGTATACACTTAGCAGAGGTGTCCAAAGAAAGGTCTTGGTCTGTAGATGAGTTATCAAAAGAAAAACTAAGCAAAATCCCTTAGGACTCTGCCCCAGAAGCCTTTAAAGATCCCTCCACAGAGTTGTTTACATTTTGGCCATGTGAATAATACTTTTTAATGAAACAGCTGTTCATTTTTAAATTGTATTTCAAACAACACACATTTATTGGGAGTTGCTGAATTCCACCAAATAAGTATTTGCGATGTTATTTTCTGATTTTAAAATAGATTTTCTTCTTTATCATGTCATGTTTTGCAATATAGGTACCGTTCCATTACGAAATCAGTGGAAAATCATTTTATCACAGCAATTCTTAAATTATTTCTTATTGAACTATTTTATATCTATTGTACGGGTTGGTGTCTGCCTTTTTCACCACTTTTGCCTACATTTTATCATATTATTCTACATATATCAAATATTTATGTAGAAATATCTGCTCTTATCGTGTCTAAAAAAATCCAATCATAGAAACCTTGCCTAAAATGGTACCCATCTTGACAAATTATTTGCACCTGCCTATATTACGAACATTGGCGCACTTAAAAATCCAAGCATAGAAACCTTGCCTAAAATGGTACCCATCTTGACAAATTATTTGCACCTGCCTATATTACGAACATTGGCGCACTGGGTTGGTAACATTATTGAAAATAACACGACATTTTGGCTGTAATATATGGTACAAAGAGAAAATACTAGCTATTTAAGCAGCTACTGTCATGGCAGAAAGTCATATAATTTAACTAGATCACATAATCCTGTATAAGATACGTTGATTAACAATATGTAAACGTCAATATATAACAGCCAATTTACAGTATTTTTGCTTTTTTAAAACGTCCCATTGCTATGTCATTTGCGTTATTTGTTGCCTATGAAGCCACAAGACCATATATGAACTAGGAGGTCCCTAACAGTTCAAGAATAAAAGCCAACTTCACTTCAAGTATTTAACTACACCTAACATTCCGTAGAGAGATTATATTGACAACTTTATGTTATCGATAAGGCTGAGACAACTAACTGTCATCTCCCATGTCAAGGAATTCCAGCTTTAACAGTAACCCCACAATCAATTTCTCAAAACTATGCTAGAGGGTTCATTAATTGGCACAGAAGTACGATACGAACTGACGTGACGTGACGAAGGAAAAATTAAACTTACACTGTAACGGATAATCCTCCCTTTGAAGTTAGAATATGTCTTCCCAAAAATATTTTCTTTTGAAAGAAAATCACATTACACTGATGAAATCATGGAAGTGTTTTTAACTACAAAAGATCCACCAATACGATTTTAATACTATTTAAAGGTTCTTCTAAAGGAAGAGATGCCATATAACATACTAATAATAACTCCGATGACTCCCCATACCGTACGGGGAATATTTTATTCATTGAATGATCAACCAAATTTGGCAACTAACACAATTAATATCATTATTGTTTTTACACGTATTACTCTTTAAACAACTAAATGCTCAAAATATGTATATTTCACCCAATAATTTATCGCAGTTAGATGAATTAACGTAAGCCTTGAAATTAACCGTCGATTTCGACGGGTTTCACCTAGTTTTAATTAATATTTTAAAAAAATAGTTATTTTTAGTAAATTTGACTTGGCTAATACATTTGCAATGTCAATGTAGCTAAATAAATGAGTTGTTGAGTTATTATTGAGCTTGTATAAATTCCACTCCACTGACAAAGGCGTAAAGTGATTCATTTTAACCTGAGCTCAAGTTTTACAGTAATGAGCGAAGTGTTAGACACTTTTTGTCCGTGTAATCTATATAAATAAAATTAGAGTTTTGTCTGTACATTGCTTAGAATAATGAACTTTTTGGTTATTTTTACATTTCATAGGTCAGAGAAACCGAATCAAACCTTATCTCAATTTCTGTCTGTCTGTCTGTCTGTCTGTCTGTCTGTCTATCTGTCATTCTCTTGGTAACGCTAAAATACGCACTTTATTACAACTACTCCTCAATAACTATAGCACTGTCCCGCCTGAAACTTATTTTCCAAATACTATATATGACATATAACAAAAAAAAATAACATATATGAGATGGTTTTAGACGTATTTCATCGAATATGAGACAGTTAGATATTTAACAGTAAACCCTTGAAAATCAAGTTTTTGTCGATTTTTGACGTGGAATTTCTGGAAGCCCATGTTAACCTTATGAGAAATGAAATTATTGAATCTTAACAGCTGTTTCAATTAAACAAGTTGGTTCTGTTCTGTGATGTTCAATAGCATTAAAGTTACAAGGATTACCAACAGGGTGCAGCACTAGCACTATTATTTCTTTTACATTTATGACAACAGCTAATTTGCAACCTGGAGGCGAGTGAGCGTAGCGAACGAGCTAACCTGAAGGCAAGTGAGCGTAGCGAACGAGCTAACCTGAAGGAAAGTGAGCGCAGCGAACGAGCTCCAACATACAGGTGAGTGAGCGTAGCGAACGAACTTCAACCAGGACGTGATTGAGCCATGCAAACGAGATCAGATAGTAAAAATAAAAGTAAGCCTACCGTTATAGGATCGACCGGCAGACACAGAGGTAATTTAACCTTTTATTGATTGTCATACCGATCCGGAACAACAAAAAACAACATAAAATGAAGCTATGTATAATAGTTTGGCCAGCATATCTTAAAATATGCAAACCAACTGCTGTTCGTTATATAAGAAGGTTTCAACTGAATATTATAAGATCCCCGTGCGTAGAACGGGTACACAGCTAGTGAACTATATTTTTTGTCATATGTATCATTAATTTAAACAAAGTATGTTACAAAACTAAAATTGGTTTTATTTAAAGATAACCTCCATAAACTACTGTATTTAATTTTGCAAAAAGGAAACAACTAAGCAGCTGTTAGTAAAAGATTCAATCGTTTCGTCTATTAATATTGTGTTAGAGAATGGTTAGAGTAAATTATACTATCGATATGTCGAAGTTCATAATAAGGCAACAATAAGCTAAATCGATTAAACAATCGATATATAATTTTGATACATGCGATTGTTTACAATCGAAATTTACAACTGAGATGTCGTTGACGTTGACAAGAGCTGATTTTTACTCCCTAGGGGCTAAAAACTTTTTTAATCCATAGAGAGTAAAAATAGTACTACTTTAGTACGGCAACGCATGCATTAAAATAAAAAAGCTGTTTTTTCCTGCAGTATGATGAAAACTATATAGATCTATAGATGTTTTCGGCATACTGCAGTAAAACAGCCGTTTTTAACACGCCATGCGTTGCCCGAATCTAAAGCAGATCTTTTTCGCCCTAGGTAGTAAAAATCAGCTGATGGCATCTCAGTTGTAAACTTGTAAATTAGATAGTAAACAATTGCATGTATCGAGAGTAGGCTATGTATCGACTTTGTAGGTATGTACTGACTTTGGCTATGTAGGTTTTGATCGATTGTAGCTCATTGTTGCCTTCTTTTAAATTGTTCCGATGGTTAAATGTTCACTTACAGCTGCTTGTTTGTGTTAGAAATTAAATTTATAAATGTTGGAAGTAGTTTTGAAATGTTATCTTTAAAAGATAACCATTTTAGTTTTGTAACATAGTTTTTTTTTAATAATAATAGTAAAATAAAACAAAATATATAGGCCTAGTTCAATCCTTTTTTTGTAATTTCCTGAGTGATACATTTTGCACACAAAAAAAGGAGTAAAGTAAAGTAAAATATACCCCCGCTGCGGCAATCCTGCAAACTAAGCGAATTTCCATTTACCTGGCTGAATTTCTACTAAAATATACCCTGAAAATTGTCATAATTCCTATTTAAATAACATTATTTTTAATGAGTACCTAGGTTTGCTGCTACAGGGAAGGTATTGAGGTGTGTTTTTATTGAAATGTTGATAGCTTAGTATGAAATAAACAAAATTGCCAAATTTGATTAAAATATATCCATAAACAATCAAACTACAACAGTTTATTTATTCTCCAAAAGAATATAACATGGGGATTTTAAATTTAAAGTTTTTTTTATTATCTCCGTAACCGTTAGACATACAACAACGCTTCAATATACACAATTATTTTTTGTTTTAAGCTCTACAAAATGATCTGGAAAGAAATTGTGAAATTCTACGTTTTTAGAGTCAAAAATGGGAAAACCCAACTTTTATCCCATAAAACCCCCTATTAACGGGGGTTCACATAGTCCGATCATGCTGATTCGCAAACTCGTTTGAATAAAGGTAGGTTTACACGTTTCTACAAAATTTCATCAAAATTGGATCATTTTTGCTCAAGTTATCGCGTTAAGGGACACATATTTGTATATAAATATAATATTAAAAATATAAATATAAAATATAAATATATTATATTTATATACAGGGTGTTTTTTTAAAAACTTGCATCTTTATTTATGTAAAAACCGCAATAGATAGAAATATGCAGTTTGCGGGAATCATCTATTGACGTAGGGGGCCCAATTGTTTTGAATTCAACGTTACATTCACATTCCCCCCCTCTCCCCCCCTGCCCACAACTTAATTTTTTTAATAGCAAGGTACCCCTTGTGACATATCAAATGAAAGAGCATGAAAAAAGAAATTGTTTGATGAAAAAAAAATTGAAAATCGGTTCATAAATTTGCGAGATATTCCCCCCCCCCCTCCCCGGAACTTAATTTTTTTTTAATAGCAAGGTACCCGCCCTTGTGACATATCAAATGAAAAATAAATTTCACCAAACATTTTCTTTTGTCATGCTCTTTCATTTGATATGTCACAAGGGGTACCTTGCTATTAAAAAAAAATTAAGTTCCGGGGAGGGGGGGGGAATATCTTGCAAATTTATGAACCGATTTTCAATTTTTTTTTTCATCAAACAATTTCTTTTTTCATGCTCTTTCATTTGATATGTCACAAGGGGTACCTTGCTATTACAAAAATTAAGTTGTGGGCAGGGGGGGAGAGGGGGGGAATGTGAATGTAACGTTGAATTCAAAACAATTGGGCCCCCTACGTCAATAGATGATTCCCGCAAACTGCATATTTCTATCTATTGCGGTTTTTACATAAATAAAGATGCAAGTTTAAAAAAAAAAACACCCTGTATATATGAAATTGAACAGAAGGTGTTTTTGGCCTCTGGGCATCTCAAAACAAAAAAGTAAATTGGCCCCGGGTCAAGGTCGTACCATGAGTACTACGGTAATAGCTTATTCCCTATATGGGAAATTCGCTAAAAAACGCCCAAAATCCTTAAACGGTACTTTCCTGTTAAAGGTAACATTCATTATTATCGATAAATCGATATTTTTGTTTCCGATCAGATCTATTACAAATTGACAACAACTAACTGATCTTGTTTAGGCTAAAATAGTTTATATGGATTAAGAAATGAAACTGTTCTAAGCTAACCTAACATAACCGACCAAACTTGCTGTATAATTTAAAACTTCCGTTTGGGTTTGATAATAGAAAAGGCAAGTTAAACACGAAATTTTTAAATGTTACAGCAAGTTTGGTTAGTTATGTTAGGTTATTTTTTTTTAAAGTTTCATATACTACTGAACAATATTTATCGTAGTTGTCAGCTGATATGTTTCAATTTGTTAATATCGATATATCGAAAAAAAATCATCGATAATAATGAATGTTCCCTTTAACAGGAAAGTACCCCTTAAACAATCTGACTGAAGAATAGAAATTTATTATTTGATTTTCCTCAATATACTGTGCATTAGACAATAAAGAGTGCTTTTATTTACGCAACCCAAATAATCACAACTACCACCGAGAGACACAAAACCATCTCATATGATGGTATCCCTGTTCTTTACATCATTGTCGATTTACATACATCGTTTGATATATGCATTGTGCAAGTTATCTGTGAGGCTAAGTGTTATTGTTATTGATAATTTTATAAATAATACGTAATATGTTGTTTTTTGTAAGCTCAAACCCCAAGCTAAGGTTTATTCACAATAAATTCCCATATTCCCAATAACACTAAAACTCATAGATAACAATTCATATCAGCTGATTAGCAATGAAATAAAGAATACAGGGATACCAAAATGTGAGCTTGTTTTGTCGTTAAACAGTGTATTCCTTCAGGTACAGTACTTGTAATTCGGGTTGCGTTTAAAAAACACCCTGTATCTATAAGAAATGAAAATTGAAATTGTTTAACTATCATCATTTAGAACTATTTACCCCCTTCTGTTGGTTCTCTAAAATTAAAAATCACATGGGCAAACATTATGTCAAAACAGAACACTATGTCAAAATAGAAGAGTATTTTATAACCAAACCTGTTCAACAACAAAATATTAAATTTAAAATTCATCTTGATTTTTGCATGCAAATTGAACCAAAAATATCACCATGAAGGGAGGTGGAGGAAGTGGTTTTTCCAATCAGAATAATGCTGGCAATCATCAAGGAGATGGATACAACAGGGGTCAAAGCGGGCAAGCAGGGCATCATGGGAGCCAGGGAGGACATCATGGAAGTCTAGGAGGACATCATGGAAGTCTAGGAGGAATCCATGGAAATGAAAGTGGACATAATGAGATCCAAGGTGGACATCATGGAAGTCTAGGAGGACTCCATGGAAATGAAAGTGGACATAATGAGATCCAAGGTGGACATCATGGAAGTAATCCATCCACGGATCATATCCATGGTAGGGGTCATTCCTATCCCACCTATTCTTCCCACACCTTCAATCCAGAATCCGATCCGGATTTTTCAGATGACGATTTGGAAATCGATGGTGAACTTTGTAAGTAGTAGGTCTTGAGGTAGATCAACTTCGTAAACAGAAAAATAATATTCGTGGGTGTTCCAGCTAGATATGTATGTACTCTCCCCTAGTGAGACCCTGAACTCATACAGGTGGCTTAAACTTGGCCCAGTTGTCCAGAAAAACATTATAGTCCAGAATATAAGTATTGTCTGATGAAGTGAAGTTACAGGACGATATGTAAATTCAACAAATTCTGTAGAAACCGACTAAGTTTTAGTTGGTTGCAGCCTGGAGTGGACTATTTGGATACATGAACTGGGAAGAGTTTGAGCACAGTTTCTCTCGTGATCCTAGATGCATACTGATATGTCGTACTAAATCATTATCTCTGCCCTCTGGTTAAAATGTAAAGTATTCCCTATTCCTAACAGGAACATCTGGATCAAATCTCAAAATTCACTACCAGCCTGGTAGTAAATTTTGAGTCTTTTACTTTCTAATATAATTTCCTCATTTTGACATCCATATGGATGTATTGTATAGGGTACTTTTCAAGCAATATTAATTGTTAGCAGTTCAAAATTAACATCCCTGAAGTGTAATGCCTCCAGGAGCCAAGGTACCAAGGTGGAAGGGAAACTGTTTACAATATTACTTATTATTTTATATTAAAATTTATATATAAATGTTTAACGAATGTAACTGCCTTTTCATAGTTGCATTCTGTGAATATAATGTCCCTGAACTGTAAACAAACTATTCAAGTACCGGTAGTCATTTAATACACAGACAACATGCTTAACATATGTCCTTCCCGTAGAAGATTAAAACGTGATATCAATGACTTGACTTACTTGAATTCTCCTTTAGCTCATTGCATAGGGCGTCCAAAAGAGCTTGCCATCCAATCCTATCTTGTGCCAGGTCCCTCAGCTGACCCCAAGTTCTTCCTATGCTCACAGCCTCCTTCTCCACTGTTCTTCTCCAGGTGCCGAAAGGTCTTCCTCTCTTTTGTGCCCCTTGCGGGTTCCACTCTAACGCCTTGTTCTCAATGGCAGTGTTGGGCTTTCAAAATGTATGTCCTAGCCACCTCCACTTCTTCCTTTGAATCTCTAAGTCTATCTTTTGTTGACCTGTGCATTCCCATAGCTGCTCATTTGAGATAGTGTTTGGCCAGAACACTTAATATTCGCCGCAGGCACCTGTTAACAGAAACCTGGAGCTGTGAGGTACTATTTCTGTCCATCTTCCAAGTCTCGGTGGCATACAGGAGGACGGATTTGACATAAGAGTTAAAAATGAGGATCTTTGTCCTGGTCGATAAATTTCTATTTCCCCAGAGAGGGCATATAGTTGAATAAAAATCATCTTTGGCTCCTCCTTCCGCTGTGACTATGCTCCTGATCTTGTTAAATGTTCCTTTTGGTGTTGGACTCAGTGATGACTGATGAGGAAAGCCACAATTAACAGACAAAGGGAGCGCATTGGGGGCTGAGAGAGTGCCTGGAGGATCTTGACTTTGCAAATCAATACAATTACAAAAACAAACTGACTTTTTGAGTACCGGTATGCTACCTCTGTCCATAGGGGTTAGTAGCCTAGTGGTTAGCGTTTTATTCTTTGGTGCAATATGGGGTTCAGACCACCTTCCCTTGAAAGCATTGAGAGATATAGAGTACTTTTATTGAAAACGCCACTGGCAAAGACACTGAGAAAACTAAAGAACACTAAAACATGAACACCAGCATCAAAATATACTAAACCTAAAAATCTACAAATACAAAATTTATCGTGATAACCTGACAATGTTTCTTATTGAATAAATTTAAAGAATCCCAACTTTTTCAGATCTAAATCCTGGTGAGCCATATGGTGCAGATATGTTGCCAGTGGATGACCCGTACATTCACTTAGAAAAGGCCGAAGAGGCAAATCGTGAGTGGTTGACAGGACCTTTGAGACCTCGTAAAACTAATATCAAGGTTCGCTTCTGGGAAGAGGGCAATGAATACTATGATATTGAAGAGAATGACAGTCCATCCGGTAAGACTAGATTTTAAAACAGATTTTTTATTACAAAACCTACTCCAGCATAGGAGTCTACAACAGTGATCACAGCCAATATATATAATGTCTGGTAACTTTTTTGTACTGATTTTTCTCCAGAAAGGCCATTTTTTTCTTGAAGTACAGCTGCATCAACTCCGAATGCAGCTAGCTCTTTTCACAATATCCACCTTGCCTTCCCCTGCCAGTGTTTTCATGTTTAATTCACAAGCCCTTCTGGGTTTAAACCCAAGCTTGGGTCTAAATCTATTTATCCAACCATTTTCAAGGCATTTTGTTGGCATAGGATTGTTAGTCCTATACTCAACCTCCAATTTGTGTGGAGGGCCACTCCTACTCAGGGCTAGTGGGTCTGTCAGGCCTTGCCAAGAGGACTACCAATAGATCTATCGACCACCATCCACCACCCAGGGGACGCTTCGTATACGCTGTAGTAGGACACGGAAGACTAGGCCAACTGGAGTATGAAACTGATCTTGTAATGTTGTTTGTGTTTGGTCGACGTAGTTCTAGAAAGTGGAAAGTTATGAAGGTTTTTATTATTTACTTCTAGTATTTTGTAATAATTTGTATGATAAAAAACTGTATTAGTTCTTGAGTAGGAGAAGATGACCTTTGGCTTTACAACTTCAGAAAATTACACTTCATTATTAAACTCTGTATTCTGTACAGGTGTTATTACATAAACAACAACAACAAACACGAACTTCAGACAATACAAAAAAAATTTACATTATTAGTGCAAAGAATCTTTAGTTATTTTTAAATAATAGGCCTGTTATCAAAGTTAAAAGTTAACATACAGAAATAATAAAGCACTCCTCAATAAGTGAAACCCTTGTGATACTTTTAAATCTTCAACCTTTTTGATTACAGTTTACAATATGGCAAGTGAACGATCCTTAAATGCTAGTAAACAACGGGAGAGACAAAACTCGCCGCTAAATACTTCACAAGGAAGCTCGGATAGGCGAGAATCTCCTCAGAAATGATCATTCACAAACAGAAAAAAAATTAAAACAAAATTAATCAATGGCCCTTTTACATTCAAAATTATTATAATATTTACATGATGTACATGTATTTTTAAAGGTAATGTATTTTGTTAAATGTAACATTATAAATCTGAGGTAAGACTTCATGTAAAACCAAGAAAACTTTTATAGGAAGACCTTCTTCAATCTCACTGAGATCTATTTAACAAACTGAGAAGAGTAAAATATTAGAGTTTGTACAACTTGTTCTTTTATATGATATCGTACAAGCTGTACCTTTGTAATTGTTAAAAAACTAATTAGATAATTTAGTGAAATGAAAATTCTTTATTTCAACAGGAAAAGTTATATATATTTTATTGAATGTACCAAAACATTATACATATTAATTTATAATTTGAATCCAATAATCATAATCCATCAATTAACTAAATGGGTAAACATTATACAGGATATATAGGGTTATTTAAAAAGAATGATGCAAAACTAAACAGTTGGTACGTGATTTCAAACAGCCGATGGTTAAACCAATGGAAAGGGTGTGTTACTAAGTTTGTTTTGACAAGGTTAGGTTTTGTCTCAGTTGCTTAGTTGAGTACCACGAAGCCTGCCAACAAATGTCTTCTCCAAAACAAGAAAATGCATTTTGTATTTTAAGGGTTTATTTGTACTAATGTTATTATTAGTGTTCAGTGGAACCAAATTTAGGAAGAAGGCTCCACATAGGAACTGCAAAGCTCGTTGGTTAAGGTATTCAAGACAATTGTATGTTTGTATGCTGGTAAGAGTTTCGTGCTCAGACACCGTGGACTCAGACTCCGCCAGACGCTGTGGAGAGAATCGAAGCTAAGTTTGCACAGAGTCCAACAACAAAAACCTCAACAGTTAAAGCTGGTAAGGAACTTAACATAACCCAGGCCACGGGTTTACGCAAGCGTTTGAAACAAAATCCATACAAACTGCAGTTATAAGCATTAACGTCTACTGACAAGCCAAAATGCACAGATTTTTGCCATGATAGCTTCAAATCTCACTGATATTCTCTGATTTTGTTGACAGGCTTTGTGGTATTCAATTAAGCAACTGAGATAAAACATAACCTTGTCAAAACAAACTTATGAACACTCCCTTTCCATTGGTGTAACTATCAGCTACCGTATTTGAAATCACGGAAACCTCACCTACCAACCGTTAAGTTTTGCACCATTAATTTTAAATAACCCTGTATAACTGTCCGAAACAAAAATTAAAATGGATTAATTTAAATTAAATTAAATTAAATTAAAAATTAAAAAGAATACAAAATTATTAAAGTAGTTTCAATGGGTTAAAAATTACTCCTAAATTTTATTGATTTTTATTGACGAATTCATTTAATACATTCATATTTTCAGTATTGTAGCAGTATCAATAATTTACAATATTACAAATTAAATTCTCTAAATCACTTGGTTTCTAACAACTGATTAAACTAGGTACAGGAATCACAAGGAAAAAATTACATAAATATAGGAGATTGATTTAATTATGATTTAAACTTAAGGATTCAATTTCAGTGACCTTTTTTTGGTAATGATTTTGTAGTTCCAATTTTATTCAAAACTAATGATTTTACTGGGAAATATAAAGTTTTTTTCAAGAAATTCTTGATGATATTAATTACATGTTGGTTGGAAAATATTATAATGGAACTGGAATATCATATTAGATAATGGATATTGGCAAAATATGGATTCCATTTTTAACTCAATACAAATAAAAGGTCACTTGGTAATAATATGGCACAGAATTTGAGAAACTAATTTTGAGAGACAACTCCAAACTAAAATTTTAATTTGATTGGCACCAAAACGAAATGACTAGAAAAAATATCACAAAAATTGATAATAAATTGCACCATAATCGGTTAGACAATTAATCTGTAATGATTTAACGTAACATCAAATTTCATAACACAATAAAAGAAAATTTACAGCAAATTTTTGGATAACTGGAATGTTACACTTTAGTAAGAAAATATTGTTACATCTAATTAAATAATACATACTTGACCAAGAGTATTATCAATGTTATATTAACAAAATAACAGTATTGATTTCACACTAACATTGATCTTGATGGAATTTTAAGTTAGAAAATGAGATACGAGTAACATATATTTTGAGACTTTTCTAATAAGGAAAAGTAAAAGCTTTTCAAAGGTACACTTTTTTAAAAAGGTTAGTATACGCCACACCTTATGTTAAATATAAAAATAGCGCATCAAATTTTCAAAATTTATATTGTCTAAATAGATTAAAAATCATGAAATATTACTTACAATTTGATTATATTGAAATATTAAAGCAAGGTTTGTCTAAAACAGGTAGCTCTTTTCACATATCATTCTAAATGATTTTATCTAGACAAAGAACGTTCATCTTTAACATCTTTGGTTTTTCAAGTTTTTGAAGTAATTTAAATACAGACTAAGATGGAATGAATACTTTACTACAAATTAAATTAAATACAAATAGAATTACAATTTACGTCTATATTTTGGTAAGAGTAGTTTTGTTTTAAGATATAATACTTAAAACTCGAAAGCACATTGTATTTTAATACAACAACCTTATACTTTGAGTAAATATTTACGTTTTTATAACACATGTACTTATGGAATGCATGGTTTATTTCCTGATGCAAACAAGTTGATAGAGGCACACTGAATAAATTAATTTACAATTATTAAAGCTTGTTTAACTAACCTAATAATCAAAAAGAGTTTATCACAACATTACAAATAAAAATAAACTACAGCCGTCACATTGCGTTCTTTCCTATGCAGAAAAAAATACGAGGGTGAGATTTGGTAGTGCTTCGCTACCTACATATACATTATAGTAATAAACAATTAAAACCAAAAGCAAACATCTTATAAAAAGTTGAAAAATAGCAACTCAGTGAAATGTGGGTGAACTTTAGATTAGCAAAGCACCCCATTTACACAGTTGCTTGTTTGAGTAAAAGATTATAATTTAAACTCTTGCTTTTTTAAATATTTGACTGTGTAGGCCTACACATCACAAAGTTGATATCTTAAAAAAAAATTATAAGAGTTTAAATATGACTAGAAATGAAGTTGTTTCTTGGATTGCACAGTTTTTTATGTTCATTGGCATAACCTGCAGAAAAAAGTATCCACTTAAAAGTACAAAAAGAAACTGTAACATTTAGAAACAAGAATTATAATGTAAAAACTTGAACTGACTATAGATAATTCATTTAAAACTTTGACTACTTCAATAGTGAATAAAATCATCCCCTTGAAAGACTTGCCATACTGTGTATGGAAAAGTGGCAAGTATTTTGAAATGCATCAATCAAGGTTTTAATTGTACATTCCTTAGAACTTATCCACGATAATAAAATAACTGTTGATTTCCCTCTGCCACGATTGCTACTGTTCATTTGATCATTTTAGTCTACTTTGGACTGCAAAAATAAAAATAAAAATTTTTTTCAGCATAACGATAACATTAAAATAAATTTTGGAAAATAAAATGGTACAAATAAACTAGTAAATCACGTCTTTGTAATCCAGCTTGAATGTTGTAAACTCAAATAATTGAGTGAAGAAACTAGTGAGTAGATTCAAGCATTCCTACATTTGGCTTAAGCGCAATTGAGCATAACATTGCATGTCTTGCTTTCCAAGTTTTGGTTTATACATTTCATACTTTTAGGCTTTAAGTAGATATTTTGCACTTTTTAGGGTGTGGCAAAACACAAAACGAAAATTCTAAACGAATTACTAACAGGAAAATGTTATACACAAATATCATGAGCAGGAAAACATAATATCACCCAAGACAAGACTTTAAAAATAATATAATCTGTTATACGTTGAGAACCTTTCAATTTACGACTAATGTTGATATCCAAAATACTGTCACAAATATAGATTATTGTACAATATTTTGAAACAGCTTGAACAGTGAGAGAACGAGTTAATCACAACTAGGAATTCAAGTACAGACCACATTGGTTCATCCGTAAAGGAAAGTACGAGAAATTATCAGAACCGTAATAAAATTGGTGTTAACACTTTAGAAATACACGAGTTCTTTAGCAAACAAAACTAAACGGTATCTAATATCAACAATACGAATGAGTAAAGTACACTAGACAAGTTACACCTAACATGAATAGTCGAGCCAGTTGGAGATCGGCCCGTTTGATTTGGTACGTAAACAATATCTGTTCTATCGATACGGTTACAAAACAAAAACCTTTCTGAAATATAAATATACATTTCAAACTTGCAAAAGCTCAAGCTAGTTCACAACCCAAATTCTTTCAATATACATAGCTACAGTAGCAAAATAAGTGACAAAATAACATTTATAAAATTAATACTGTGCATAACATTTAAATGCTGCAAAATACAACTTAACACGCTCTCGGACGAGAGCCTAGAGTAACTAGGTAATGTTGGATGAGGGAATGAAATCACTTGACGAGTTCTGGCGTCTGGTTGGAGGGGTTTACTGGGAGGGTCGGGCGTCGTGCGAGTTTGGACCTGCAACAAGTTAGGGTTACAATTTAAACTTCAAAATCTTTTCTAAAAAGTTAGTTTGGAAATATATTACATAGTTAAACCCTTAGCGTTAGCAACGGGGGTTTTACAAGAAATAGTGGAACCTCTTAGTTATGGGGTGTACCTGGCTGTTTCACTAAAACTGCTATCACTACTTCTAGTAGAAAAATAGCATTTTAAAAGGAATATCTGTTAGTTTAAAAAGTCTTGTAAAGACTTTTTTGCTAGTTTACAAGGATACCTCAAAGTCTGTGTAACTGTAAAATATCCAAACAAATTACATATGAGAGAGAGAGTTGATGTAAACTTACTTGATGAACTAGATGACTCGATTTTAACTTAAATAGGATTAGGCAACTGTGAGAATGGCAACAATCAAGCTATTCGAATACTAGACATTATTTAGTACACTATCCTAACAGTTGTGATACCACAAACAGTGTTAGGTTTAGTATTCATACACTTCAAATTGTATCTGAGATCCTTATCTTCAAAGTAAATTTGCACAACTGAGTATTGAAATCAGACAATAAGTAGTGACAGAACGTTTTTATCTATTTGTTTTACCTGATCTGTCCGGCCAGAAGTGGGTTGATAGCGTAGAGCCAGTCGTGAACTTCCTTGTCTCCCAAAGTCTGCATCAGGTAACCGCGATGTTTTGTAACCACACTGAAAAATTAATAGTTATGAATACAGTAGCCAACAACAATGCAATGGCTACTTGGTGTTTGAGAAAGTGAAACTTGGTTCATACCATTCCATGCAACATTCAAATATTGCAAGTCTTTCTGATAGAAATCCTAGAAATTAAAATTTTAATCGCCACTAAACATCAGGCACATTCCTTTAAGTTGCAAATACAAAAATCTCAAGGTAGGTACAAAAATCATTTAAGTGAGATCATAATAAAGAATACTTAACAACAGTTTTGAAAACAGTACATAGAGATTGTGATGAGTAAATGTATGCTCTAAAAGCCAGTTATTGAAACAGCAATCACTTCTTCAATTTTCAACCCTATGCCATCTTCAGTCTACATTAATGTATTCACAATATTTAAACTGGTTGTTACCTGAATGTGTTTGGGACCTTGACCATGGCCTGTTGGTCCTCCGAGTACTCAACCTGAGCTGTCGCCAAGTTGATGAGGGCTCGCTCTACAGGGTCCTTCTCATCTCGGAAAATAAACACATACGGCCTTCGGACAGTCTATAGCAAACAAACATGTAACATGTCAGCTGCCTTTTGAGTATAATACAATTTAATCAAACTAAACACCTGCAAACATTCATCATATGAAACATTGAAGTTATAGCAAGGAGAAAAGAAGGATTTAATGATGTCATATATGTTTGATTTAAAAAAAAACAATAAAAACTAGGTACAGTACTTATGACTAATTACACCTTGGAATCTTTTTGAACAAAAACTTGTTGATAAACTAACTTTTCAATATGACAAAAAAATATGTCCCGCCTACAGTCTTAGCAAAACGGGAATGCCAATGGAGACCTGTGGGGGTGCGTGCGTGTGGAGGGACTTGACCTGGTCTCCATCGGCACTCCCGTTTTTCTATTACTATAATCTATTTTTAACAAACACTAAACTAGCAAACCATACAAGATCACATAATTACAGATAGTTGGGCTATTCCTTAGGAAGTTCTCGAGAACCGTTTCAAAGATCATGATTAAGTACAAAATATTAATTATCTCATGATAGAACAAAGTTTTAGTTTTCTAGAAAGAAGGATCAGTGTAAAGTGGGTGCCAAACTACTAGATCACGACATCACATACATAAAACCCGGTCTTTGGCAGGGTTTGAACCCTGACCTCCATTTCAAAAGTCATATGTTCTGATCACTACACCATTTGATCACCGTGTGACAGTAACGACATAATATTTGTTGCATAAAACTAATCTTGAAGAACTTGTGAGAGTGCTGAAAACATAAAATCAGTGGTTGCGACTTACCACCCATCGCTTCTTCCATCCGTTGGTCTTCTGCTCCAGTACGTTGAGGTAGCCCTTGCGCGCAACCACGGGGCTGATGCGTATTTCCTCGACCTCGGGCACGTACAACACGAGCGTCTGGTCCTCACTGCGCGCAACACTCTGACCTGACACGCAACTTTCCGTCAGCAGACTGAGGTGTTCGGGCAGCGCAGGCCGTGTCACACGCTCCGGCGAGATAAGCTTGGATAGAGCACTGCAACACATAGGTGAGGTTAGTCAGCAAAATAGGTTGTGACAAACCACATCCCTTTAAACTTTAAAGTTTTCATATTACTATGGTGTTGCTCATTACTAAGGATAACACTGAGATAGACCTAATGAAGTTACAAATCAAATCAAATGATCTTGATTCAAATCTGTAAATAAATATTTACATGAATAGTGTTGAACAAGAAAGACACCAAATCTAAAAGTGAATCTGAAATCGACAATAGTTTTCTCGACAAGTCACCCATTCATATTCTCAAAAATGAAACTAGTCACCCAAGACCTAGAATTGACAATGTAAGGTACGGTACGTCAATCCTGAAGGCTATGGTGAAACAATTACTAGAACTGATAAAGTTGTAGGAAAATATTGTTGACCATAAAGTGTTCTACATATAACCTATATATTAATTTGAAACTGTTTTTCTTTGTCTCCACTAATTTGAGAGAACGGCTGGGTGAAGAAAAACTCGGTACAGGACTCTAAAGAAAGCTCTTGGTCTGTAGATGAGCCATCAAAAAAGTCACACATCATTTAGATCAAATACAACAGTGTTTTCAAAACAAATTGTAAAAAAGCCATTGGACACTGTACTTAAAGAATACAGCAGGGTGATGGGGTAATGTTTAATTGCTATCCCAAATCATTTAGTTTGAAACACTACACTTGCTTTGTTAACTGGTTAAATGTAGAGTAAGTGTTAGAAAGTAGTAGATTACTTACTCATGAGTAGTTGGAGAAGTGATAACACTTGTGTTCATGTCCATCATCTCCTCTCCTGGAGAAACGTCCTCGTGTTTGACAGGTTCCTGTGGCAAGGACAACGTTGTCAGGTGATTTTAGATTTCTTTTAGAACAATAACAGCAAATTTAAATTTATACATTATGTTTAGAACTTGTACTACTGATGGAAGACGCAAGTTTTACTCGAATTAAGTTGTTAAAGATTGTTTTTTTATGGATTGAGTTCTGCTACCTTGCCTGGAGGAAATTAAAGTACAGGGACTTAAAGATACACACTGCTCTCAAATCCCACCGATAACAAATAGGTTTTTTGCTATGTTATAGCGACCCTCTAGCCAAGCAATATGAAAAATTATTTTGTGCTAGAGCCTAGGGCCCTAATGGATGATGGGACATAAAGAAGAATTAAGTGACTCTTTATATCATCTAGCTAGACTCCATACATAAAAAAGCAAAAAAACTCTAGTCTCAGCCTAGCTACATAGGACCCCACTTCACAATAAGGGTTTAACATCTGGCAACAGTATATTAATTAGTGACAACACAGTTGACGCCGAACACCACCATGTACTCAGATGACAACGACCACAAAAGCCTACGTAAGAAAAGCAAATACGCTTCAATCAGCCCCTCGGTCTTTCAACCTAGTTGTGTATTCTTATGTTTTTCTTATTCTAGATTCCTACCTTGCAAGGGATCCTTCCTTGTATCAACTTGACACACTTGGAAGTCAGCTCCCTCTCCCTATCCGTCATCTCCCACGGAGCGTACACGTCCTCCGAGTCCTTCCTCACACTCACGCTGGAACTGCCTCTGCGGATCTTGATAGGACTGCCTCGGCTCTCCGTGCTGGCTTTCGCCACCATGTTGCATACCTCCTGCGATACAATCACATATCTGATGAAACATGCAGACTCGAGACATATAATTTTGTTTTATATACAGTACAGTGCTTATATTTTCAGCTTAGCTGCTGCGATTACATCATGAATTTTGTTAACTTTTGATTCCAAACCATGCCTATTTATTCTGTATATCTTGCTACAAGTGGCTCTAAATTAAGGTAGGTATTTTGAACTGATGAAGAATTAGATGGGCTGGGCATGTTTAGAGAAAGAAATCAAACGAAAACCAGTTCTAATGAGAAGTCCTAAAGGAAGAGGTCCGAGAGGAATGCCAAAGCAAAAGTGATGGAGCCAAGTGAAGGAGAGACGTGGAGCAATTAGGAGCAATCGAGGACGATGCAACATTGTGACAAATTCCTTCCAAAAGTTACCATGCTTTTGTACATTATTTGGGACGATACAAAACATGTTCTGTTTGTGATTGTAGTAGAGCAAGACATTGTTGTAGTAGTACAAACAGTTGTTGTTTGCGAGATTTTACATACATGCAAATTACTTACATAAAATAATCAACAGAAGCATTATTGATTTGGAGTGTTCTTGGATGTATGGCTTTAAAACATTACGCCTACTTAAAACTGTTAATATGATTTGCAGTATTAAAATAACAGTAAGTTTAACTTTGTTTAGAAGGGGAACCAGCTTTCAACACCACATAATTATACTATGGACCCTCATTCAGTCATTATTCATCGGTAAAGCAATTACTCCCCCCCACTCATGATTTAATAAATAAACTCACAACACCCAACCCAACAGTAACAACCCGTCCGACAAACCATGAACCAAGCCCGCATCCTACCTCACTCAAACATACCCCGACCAACCTAGCCCCAACCAGCGGCTGCAGCAGAATTGTGCTTCGTTACCCTAGTTGAGAATTTTTTAAAGTTTTAAATAAATAAAAATCCCCATGGTACCTTCTCAGACTTGGTGATGGGTCCCTTGTCCACTCCCAGTCGCTCCCTCAGCAGAAGTGTGTGTCGTACTTTCTCCACCTCCTGTAGTCTAGTGAGTTTCTCCAGCTCCCACTGGTGGTCGAAGATGAGGCTGTCTCCCCTCGGCCTCCACCCGTGTAGGTTCTCCTCCCCTCGCACGTACGTGGAGCTCGTGTCCAACACTCGCCTCTGTCTTCTCTGTACGCCTACGGAGGAACATTGCAAAATACATAACCTTAGTAAAAAGGCCATCACTGGATTGATTTTTAGATCCACTTGAATCGCTGTTGCACCGGCTAGTTAAATAAACCTTAGAGGAGAGGTAATGTTGATAAGACTAACTTCACCATCCCTCGAGTTTGGTTCATGTTCAAATCTTCAATCCAATCCCTAAATTTAAACAAAGGCATGAATCTTAAAGTATAAAATATCATGCAGAACCTGCTGTAAAAATCTATTCTTAATAACTTTTCTTATATTTTTATTTATTTTAAGACTTGTGACTGACTTCCTAAACTTGTTTAGCCAGAATCTCAGTTTTAACCATTTCTTCCAATCATGATGATTTGTTGCAATACCCATAACACCCCAAGATTTCCTTAGCAAAATCCCTAGATTAATTAAATTTCACAAACCAAATTTAATAACTTTCTGATCAACCCTGATTCTATTACATATACTTCCTTGCTTAAACAAATGCATGAGTTGCAGTAGCTTGGGTGGATGTTGGGGATGGGGATGCTCAAATCTTCTATTCTGTATCACATTCAAGAATTTAAAATATAGAATTAAAACCCTGAATAACTGAGTCCTATCAAATCCAAATACAGCAATTACAAAATAAAATGGAGAATCTGCTGTGAGTGTTTACTTGATCTTAAATCAATTGTAAAACTTTTAATTGATTTCAAAACGGTTTACGCCAAAATTTCAGAATCGTTGAATAATATCAGAGCTATTGTGATAATGATAATATTGTATCATAGCCATTAATATTCTAAGAATTATGATGAACAAATTGCCAAAAGATAAAAATTAATACGGTTACTGCCTTGAAGAAATGGTTGGGTTTTGGTAACAAAAGAAAATGGCAGGTGAAATAGAATACGGGGTTTGAGATTTTACTCTCAACACCAGTTGATCGAATCACAAATTCAAATCCTTTCTTGGAGATATGTGGATTCAAAATTTTAATTCGGGTTAGACATAACACGTGTAGTTAATAAATTAACTACGTCTAAGACTATATTGTGTTTATAGTTAATTAATAGTCTTAGACGCAGGGAAACTTTTGGTGACAAGAAAAAATAGTTCAACGAAGAAAACTGACATCATGTCAGTTTTTAAGTAGATGAGTAAACAAACATAGTCAAAAAACCAAAGGAAAAAGAAATAACTGTTGCTGGTAGCATTGACTATTGATACAACTAGTAAAAGTTTATCTTATCCCCGTGTTAAAGTGGTTGCCAGTTTTTCATCAATATCGACCTAGTTGATATGAGCCACCGACAGATTGCGCTGATCTAAATTACTAATTTCTGTCGAATACATGAACTCTTTTACCAAGTCAAACTGGTGGAATGATTTATTGTGAGTGAGCTATAGCTAATAAGATAAGAAATATAATTTTAGACACCATCGCATTCTGTGACTAGCTCATACAACTGTTTTTTTTTATTTATGAAAAATTGGCGTCAGCTGGTCCATGGGATGTCCACTTCAGTATTCAATAGTCAATGCTGGTAGGATAAGACCCAACTCTGTAACCATTTCAGAATAGGCGGAGCTTACAGATTGAGTAGTATGACAAATAGTAGTAGTTTTAAGATGTTTATACAACAATTTATCAAATAATCATCTTTTTATCTTGAGTATCGCATTAGTGAACAAGTAATAACACAATTTTCAATATTTTTCCTGAGAAAATAATACCACTATGAATAATAAATTTTGTGACTTCTCTGATGTATGGACTGTTAAACTTAACCTGTCTTTTAAATTTTAAACCAGAAAATGTAAAAAAAACTTAACAATATATACTAATCCAATGAGAATTGAGAATGGATTGAGCTTGAATAAGACATTTATTTATTTAGAAGCAATTGGTGAATTGATGCAAAATATGAAACAATCTACAAATTTAGCACTAAAAAGCTCTTTAAAGACCAATCTTTGCTACGGCGGCAAATAAAAGCTTTGTTGGCACATTAATGCCAGTTGCAACACAGTGTATAAAAGTGTCACAACTTTTGATGGATCAATTTTAAAATGCAATGGCAATGCACAAAACTACAATGCGAATGGACTTAATAAAGAATAAGTTAAGTGAGACAATATGAGACATATAGTTTTTTACCTGAAAAAAGTTGGAAACTAGTTACCAACAGTTTTTCTCCATGTTCTAAAAAGCACACACATTTTTCGATTTGAGCTCTAAAACCAGGAAAAATTGAAGTATCGATACAATTTTGCACAACTTTATGAAGCTGGCATCAGTGTATCAACGGCAATGACACACACTGCTTCTACAACTAGAGGCAACATACTGCCAGGGTATAACATAAGATACAACTAACACATGCCACACTAAATACACAATGGCGGACTGTCAGGCTCTCACAAAACTTGAGTCTTCTGTTTGAAAAAGTGTAAGCCAGTTCATTTTACATAATAGACTATGCGAAAACACAGTGAAAACAAACTCCAAGATCTGTAGATAGTAGTGATCAAGGTCACAAAGAAATTATTTCATTACACTCAAAGATTATGGAATGTATTATACATTATTGTTGATGAAAGTAAGCTCAATGAGTATCACTTTAACTCAATACAGTAAGTCCTCACTAAATCGACTATTTGTAGACCCTGAGGTTGTCAAGTTTGGGGTTTGTCGAGTTATCTAGAAGATTGACATTTATAATGGGTTTTTATAAATGAGTACATAAAACACAAATTTTTACATATAAATTTATGACTTACAAGAGTATTTTTAAATATTGAATAAAAAATCTTCAAATAATTGTTGAATATTAAATGTTGGATTAAAATTAAAACTAAATGTTCCAGAAAAGTTGCTTATTTTTGGGTGAGCCCTGTCAGTTGTCAGAGTTACACAGACTGTCGAGTGACCGGGTGTCGAGTTAGTGAGGTTCATATTTCCCTTACCAAGGGAAAAATTTTCCCTCTACAGAGAACATAGAAGAATATGTCTATTTTTCCATCCATTTTAATTAGTTTTATTTTTAAAATTAAATTTTGTTATCCATTTTTATTTATTTATTCATCAACTTAGTACAGGACACAATACCAATTTTAAAATTGTCTTCTCTTAATTTTGTTTTACTCTAAAGGGAAATCTAAACATTATAATCAAGATTAGCACACATTATTATATGTGACTCCCCTTAGAAAATAACTGGCATCAAAACTGGTGCAATGGAAAGACAATGGTAAAGTTTCCAAGGTGCGTAGACAGTCAGCCAGTGTGCAGAGGCAGGGTGGGGGGAGAGCGCATCTAAGGGTTGCTACCTGGACTACCTGCTTCAGACGCCCGCTTCAGCACCAGCTCGTACACGCCGGAAAGACGGTTAGCCTCGGCGTTGCGGTAGTTACCGGAGAACAGGTGTTTGAGAGAGCGTGGCCCGACACGTGCGTCTCGCCCGTAGATGATCATACTCAGGTCCTTTGTGACTATGGCTGGCCGGCCGCAATTCTCCAACTGAAGAAAAGAAAAAAAGCATGATTTAAAAGTATTTTTAATTTTTTCATAGAGATCAGAAGAATAGTCCATTGGGAAGTTGGTCAAAGTAGACACACCATGGTGTACCTTTGGAGGTGATTTTCAAGATTGTAGGACATTGGTAGTAACAGAGCGGACTTACTGTCCAACGTTAAACTTTGTAGATACAAATGTATCTCCAAATGGATTTAATTTAATAATATAATTAAAAATAGGTTAAACCGGTCCACTTAGGCCTGGGCCTGTCCGTGGAACATACCCGTTAATTGAATTTAGCATCTTAAACAAATCTAGACATAAAAATCCCCAATCAAAAAAATCAGTAAACAAGATGTTCACCTAAACAAACTGTTCCCATTAAATTTACATGTTTACAATGTGAAGACATTTCTTAACCATTACACTACACCACCAAAAAGCAGATACTTAACTAGTAACCATCCGTACCTCCATATATGCGGAGATGGTCATAAAAATCTGCTCTCCGTAGGCTGACACTCTGTTGAGCATAGGGGAGTTGTGTAGGGAGGAGTCCCAGGCTGCCTCGAACCGGAACATGACCCGGTCATCACCTGGGATCTCTACCAGCTCTCCGGGGAACAACCCTAAGGACAACACGGAGCTGTCGTTGTCCTCTTCCTCTGGCTCAGGAGTGTTCCGGATACGACCTGGAATTTAACAAGAGGAATTATAGAAATTTGATAAAAAATTATTTTGTACAGTACAGTATAAAATACACAATAAGTTCATTTTGTATTTTGTAATTGCATAAAGAGACACAAGATCAACTTGAATTCATAGCTCTCCTAATATATGATCAAGGAGGTGATTAGCAAAGTAAGTTTACAAATCCAATCCATGGAAAAATGTTGAGGAATAGTAATTTAAGAATTTTTTACAGTTTTGAAGGTACTGTAGCTTATAAGTTTTTTCAAATGGATTTTTTTAGATAAATAATTCTATTACAATAAAAGATCATGAAGAAATTCCGATTCATGAGGTATAGTCAAAGTAGAAGAAATGTGGTATGTCTATTGTCTAGCCCTTACATGTGTGAGGTAGATTTTTCCATTAAAACTTGTACTTATTTTAAGGTGTTGGTTGTTAATAGTTTCTTTCTTTAACTAGGCAGGCAATTTTAGAGTTATTTTCTTTCAACCTGATTTTAATTGATAAGAAAACTTAAGTGGCTTTGGGAATAAGTCCTACATTCCTTTATGTAGAGGTCATACTTAAATTTATTTTAATTCTTTGAAAATTATCTAACATTTACAATTTTCTAAGTGAGCAACAGGTGAACTTAAAAGCAAATACAACAAAGTGACTAGACCTACCAACGACCAGTTCCCGTACATCCTTCCAGCGCAGTTCTGGAGCGTGTTCGTGGACGATGGTGATGCGGATACGCCTCTGTATTCCTTGGTGAAGCAGGAACAACCCTCGGCACGGCAAATCATCACTGTGATCCACCACGGCTGGCACGTACTCACCGTTGGGCGCTGAGACATACAGAGTAGGCTAGATAAGCTATGGGTTGGATTGTGAAGATAAGCAAGTTAGACATTAAATGAAGAGGAAAAACCCTAGAAGAATGTTTGCCTAATCTAAATACTATTACAAACAAAACAAAAAATAAAACAATCACTTTGTCGACCACAACTACATCCATGTTTTATATGGTTAAAATAACATAGAACACTCAAGTGTTTTAGACATCCAATACAATAAGATAAACTTAAGATTTACAATAGGATAGTTTACAATTTATGTTTTATCTGTTATAGTTATCTTAACTGGCCTAAGAACAAACCACTTTAGTTACTGCTAGAATATGTCTTGGAAGCCAAACAAAGCAGCTTACTTAAAATATTGAAATCTGACTACTTTAAATTCTATGATTGGTTTGGTATAGCCTATTATTGAATTCTTAAAGAAAAACAAGGGAAACAAAAGACTGATTGAATAACAAAGACTGATTGAATAAAAAAAAAGCACTGTGAAATAACAAAATTAGAATAATTGCTGCAGACAAGCCATATTGGCTTTTGTGGCTTGGAATTGTATGTGTTGTAAATTTGTATTTTTTGGAAAAAAAATTTTGTTAAAAAACAGCCCTAACCCTACAATTCTACATTAACAACACACTTTTCAAGATCACTATACTTTTTTATAGGATTTTATTTCCAATACACACGGAACAAAAACCAATTTCAGACTCACCGAGCTCACAGATTTCAAACCAGACGAGAACGTCATACTTGGCGTGTACGTGGGAAGTGCAAGGAGATGGTAACACTCCAAACTTGGGAGACCTGACGGGCTGACTAATGGGGATAGACGGTGGTAACATCCTCTTGGGAGGCTGGCGAACACTGTAGAACAAACACCATACATGTAGAACACACTCTGATATACCGTAAATGGTTCATTCAATAAGTATCAGGACTGGTTCGCTGTAGCCCTAACAGTGTGGTGGAGGTGGGTCCAACCAGTTGGGTTCGATGGAGGGGTCCTTCACCATTCAGTCCCCTACAGGCATTCGTTGAGACAGGAGGTCGATATTTGCGCCGAGAGTTTTTTCATTGTGTCGAATGACCCCTCTATCGAAACCAGCCATTGGACCCCCCTCCACTGCTCTTTTGAAACTACAGCGAACCAGTTCTGGCACTTATTGAATGGAGCCTGTATATGATTAAGTATTTATAAATATTCTTATAAAAACGGAGTTGATATTGATAGAGGGAAGGAGACACAGAGAAAAATCTAGAAGAAGCTTAGTAGATGAAGTAAAACGGGAAGTAGGGAAAAGAGGATTGAATTGGCAGATGAAGGAGGAAATGGAACTTTACAGAGATATGATAAAATGAAGAAGCCTGGTTGAAACAACATTAAAAAAGTTGCTTAAATAATTTGTAATGAAAGTGATTGAATTATAAATATCCAGAATAAGATTGGGTAATAATGATTTTGAGTGACAAATTAGAAATTTAAAATATTAGAGTGCAGATGAAGTTTAGTTACATAGTTAACAAATTTTATATAACTCCATAACTAAACAAGACAAAGTTGGCTCACCAAAAACTGATAATCCAAAAATACTTCCCCTGTACCAACAAAACAAGTGCTTGTACAGAAATTTTTCAAAATGAAAGATAAAATGTTGCCCAGATGTAAGAACATGATGTGCCCTAACATGTGTAAAAGTGTAGTTGTCAAAAGTGAGTCAATAGTTTTTGTCAGCTGGTGAGTCAGTGGCTTGGTTGGTGACGCCACGGACTTCAGGCACAAGGCAGCGATGTCATGGGTTTGGATCGTGTTACCTGCCAATACTTTTCATCAGCATGTTTCACCCTAGTACTGAACCGGCTCACACCTTGCTTTACTGGATACATTCCATGCACAGGTTTCTCTAAGATTTCTCATAGACTTGTTTTCTTTACGTTAAGTTTTAGATATAGTCTTTGATGCCATTCCATGCACTGATTGATTGATGTAGACTGTGAAATAAAGACGATTTGATTTGATTTGACAGCCGTCTATGTAGACAGACAAATGCAAGGTTAAAAGCGGCTGCCAACCACATAAAAAAAAAATGTCGGATACTCACTGGCCTTCTTGCTTGGCATCCCTGTGTAGCGGGTGTTGCTGATAATGTCCAAAAACTTCAAACACTATCGGCTGTGTTTTGATATACTCCACAAACGACTTGGTGACTGACACAGTGATCTGGGAAAAATAAGCCACAACAAGAGAAAATGAAAATAGATAATATTGAAACTTAGAATATACAAGAAAGGCCTTTAAACTTTCCAAAAAGAATTCAGCTAACAGTGAGACAATTTATTTTAACAACTTAAAAAATTTTAAAGTAAATCTAACATAAAGGATTTCATTCACAACTTAAGGGACACAATCATGCAACAAGAAAGTCCTTCACTTAGGACCAAGGATATTCTATTGCTCTTTTAAAATTGTAGTCAGTTTTAGATTAAGATTTAAGCCATCAAAAGAGTGAGATGATCCGATATGGTGTAAAATACTATTTTTATTCTTATACATTCAGTTTTTAATCATAAAAATCTGAGATGGCATCAAAATTTTAAACTATAGCATCTCCTATGCTATAGTTCCTGATTATCATAGTTTGAAAAACCAAAATCTAAAATACAACCTCAATAGTTACACTCATTTAAATATGTTGTCTTTGAGTGAAAATGTTTCTATATCTGGTAAGTCTGCTTTAATATTAAAATAAATCATTAAACGTACATTTTGAACATGATAAAATCCAAGTGGTGTTCCTTTTCCAGTGTTTTTGACAGGTTCGGTAGAAAATGCCTCATCATGTCTGTGGAGGAAGCTGGAACACACAGAAATTTATTAAAATCTCATAAGAAATCAGTATTTAACTAATGGACAAAGAACATCAAGGAAGACTGGATGGGAGTTATCTCTAAAAATACAACAAATAATTAGTCTATCTTACTACAGTAGGTAGGTTGCACTTAATTTTACCTTAGGCCTACTTTACAACTAATAATCACGATGTTTCAGCTTTTTGTTATTCAATATTTTTGCACTGTGTGTTGTGTGATACACAGTTTTAAATGCTGGAAAAAGTGTTTTTGAAATTTCTTACAAAGTTAGACATTAATTAGAAATTTATATTATAAAATTAAAATTAGGTAGGGCCATAAAAAAAATTATGATTATTTATTTGCAAATAATTATTCGCTACTTTAAATCGAAAATCAGATTTCATAAAGATATCTTTAATAGTTTTACAGATATTGTAAATTTTAAATATTAAAAAAGAAAATGGCAGATATCTTGCTAACAGGACATTAATTTAAAGATTATTACCTATTCTTGATTTTCATTTTATTTTGACCCATACATTTAGGGCAGGTAATACCAGTCAAATGCAAGTTACAAAGAATTTTTTTTTAACAATGACTAAATTTGAAATTGAAACAGAAAAATACAATAGGTATGTTATGTTAATATGACAAAATGTTACAACTAAGTTGTTTTATCAATCAATATCGTACAATCTCTATCACCAATACAGTAAATTTTTTAACACTGTCGCTTTTGCTACAATACACTTGTAAAACACGGAAGAGAGAAGTTACAATAAAAATGTAAATTTAAACCTTGTATTGACCAACACGTGTATCACAAGCACTCACTTGAACTGACAGAAGATGTCGGCGTACTCCGTGGAGACCCCTATCGCCTGAAGTACAGTGACTCGGAAGGTGAACTCGTTGTTGACTGTGAGGTGTGGAGGCAACTCTTCCTCCTTAGCCTCCGAGCACACAGAACTGTCTCCTCGGCCACTGTCTGCGTCACACTCCAGGTCTCCTGCAATACGGGACAAGTTTTTTGGTTTAATGTTCCTTCCTTCTCATCCTAGGATGTCAAGCTCAAGTTCGGAACCGTCTTACATATTACTCAGGCTACGTGTAAAGGGTCGTGGTATCACATAGCTTTGTGGTACTTGGTGATCTTGGGTAAGTAATTTTTGTTGTAGAGGTGAAATTCTTTCGATAAGTTTCCCATTCATCTTCGCTTTTAATATCTCGATTGACTTTCCTTTTTTCCTAAGTCTTGTTACCATTGTTCTGTGTCCATTCAAGTTTAATTTCTATTTGATTCTAGATAACAACACACGAAAACATCGAATCCCTAAATAAACCAATAAAGTCAATTTATAATTTTATTCACATTATCAATATTGCAAACCATTAATATATTCTATGGGGTTTTTACTAAAATGTCTTGAATCTACCGACATTCACCTCAAAGTTTTCAATTCACCTTCAAGCTTTTCATGGTGTGCGTGTCCTTCCACCACTCTCTCCTCCGCTTGTATCGCCTTCTTGTTCCGGTAGTGGCCGAACAAGTAGTCGTCGTCAAATGTTATCTTGGCCGACTGCCTCACTCCGCTTATGTGTTCACCACTCTCCTCGTCTGCAAAAAATAACAAACTTAGGTTTGATTACTGTTAGGAAAGGACTGCGTTCCAAGATGCACCAGCCACATTGTTGGCTTTTGGAATAAGCCTGATGCAAGGTTTTTACATTATACATTTTTGACGAAATCTATTGTAACTTATGTTATTTAATGATGAATAAAGATTTGATTTGATGCATTATTCAGAGTTTGTTGAACTTCAGGTACTTAATTACTGCAGTTTCATGCGTCTGAGATCTCTACCATATCCATATCCAGTAAGTGACAACCATTTCCAACTTAAGTATGGAGGAAAAGTCACTTTCATCTATCAAATTATCACTGGTTAAGAGTTTATCGTCTAGTAAATCTACAATGAGGATCTTGAAATAACAAATTATTCTAAGCCTCTATCCAGCAGTAGGAAAGAAGTCATATGCTCTAACACTAGTCCAGCCAGGGGAGCGAGCTGGTCTGGTGGTTAGAGCTTGGGACTCCGATTCCTGGGGCCCTGGGTTCAAATCCCACCAAATAAACAATGGATTTTATCTAAGTGATAGTTCCGTAACCCCTAGGTCTAGCCTGAAGTAATGTGAAAAACAATTACGGGCTGCCTAGCTTCCTAGGACAAAAAAAGAACACTAGTCCAGCCGGTTCCTAAATTGTACTTAAAATGCATCATGATCACAAGGCTGATAATTAGATTGTATCTTTTTTTAACAATGTGTGATTGATGGGTTGGTCATGGTCCAAAAAAATAAATAATAGTTTTCCACTCAAACAAATCAGCTAACTAATGATTGATTTTCAACAAGCCCATGTAAAGTAGTGATTTCAAATACGACTCAGATCATTTTACAGGAATGAAACATGCAATTGTAATACACACGATTGAATGTAATGCCAATTTCATGAAACATGAAATTGTAACGCACCATTGACAGCTTGCACAGCAATACGCAGATATCCCTTGACATCTCCTTTCTCGTTAACAATGGCGACTTTGTGTATCAGTGGAACGGGATACATTAGGTTACTCAGGTACACAAACGACCTGCAAATAAAACGGGAAAGATTAGAAGAAATTCGTACAGAGATGTATACAACATTATAATTTCAGCATGACACTTTAAAACATCCCACTTTACTCCCAAGTATAATTGGACTTAATCACACAGTTTTTTTGTTGGAATACCTTCTTAATATTAACACTACAACAAAAAGTAGCAGGAACAACTTTTCTTGGAAGCAATGGACTTTACTCAAGCATTTTCAGTCATTTGGGAATGGAAATGCAACTAAACTTCCGAGTGAGGAACAGAGTTTTAAACCTTGGAGTACATAGTCAAAGAGTGCTGTTTTATTGTTTTTTCCTAAGGAAATGGCTAGTCTTTGCGCAACACAATGTAGGCAAATCTTCAATGGTTCACTGAGTTCAATCATAGACTAAGCAACACAAGTAGACTCCTCATCCCATTGTAAATTTTGAAGCTTGTTTTTTGTGTCTAGTTCATGTACGTCCACACTGATCGCTGGGGTAGACAAAATTTTGTTTCTATTATTTTAGTGTTATTTTCATGATTTGTGCTTTACTATTTGGTTATATAACTAGGAAACAACCAGTTATTGTTTATGATTAAATAGTTTTATTTGGTTAAATGAGGTTTTAAATAACTGAAATAACAAGAAACAAATTGTAAACGTAAACAAAACATAACCTCTACAGTTGGACGTACAGAACTAACAATGAATTTGGCTTCAGCTGTTCCATAAGGATGACAAATCTACTAAGGGAGTATGATTTATCTATGGTTCAATCATTTCGCCGAGTGAAGGGAAATCTTTGTTTTTTTATACATTTGTCAGTTTTAATTATGTGATCATAATTATTTGATTTATTATCATCACTTGAAGCTAGAACTGTACCGTTTGTAATTCGTTCTTTAAACTTACTGTGGCAAATAACAATGAAAAAGTCATCAGTTATAGTAATACTGTATTCTACAAAAAACCTGTGCAATGTAACATAACAATGTAAATTAAAAATTAAACAAATGTATGTCTTACTCCAGTCTTAGAACCACCAAATCAGTGACGACACAGGCATGTAAGTGATGTTCAAGATTTTACAGCCCTTCTCAACATACACCTATTGATTGATTGAGACGATTTACAGAAGAGAGATTGCACTAGAGTTTAAAAAGTTGGTATTACCTTCCCACCATGCGGAACCACGGGAATCGGTCGTAGAAGGGATCTCCCCCGGTGAGAGACTCGATGTTGTAGTCGGGGCTGGTGGGGGACAACTCAGCCTCGTTCAGATACATCTCTCGCATCAACTCTAGCCTCTGCCTGCAACAATGATGTAAACGGGCCCGTAACTAACAAAATCAAATTAATATTTATTTTGTCAACCTGCTAATAAGTGAGGATACTAGAACAGCTGGCACAGTAAGGTTTAGGTTATGTTAGCTATTTTGTAACACGTGAGTAGTTTTACTCTAACCTAACCAATCTAGTTTAAGTATATAAGGCATAAATAATTCAAACACATACAGTAGATGGATTTATTGGCACCATACTCAATCCTGATAGTCAACAATTCAGATACCTCGAAGATTGGTGATATACAAATGCTTATTATCATCATTTAATTACTAATACAAAACTTTATAAGTTTATTTGAAAGGCTAAGTTAGCATTTCTAAATCTTTTTGTTAAGTTGGTACTGGTTGTGATATTTGAAAGATGTAGGCTGCATGTATGTTAGATATGATCTGAAATTTGAATATGGGTTTAGACAATTTAAGTTCACCTGTTAGTCCTAACAACTGGTTTAGCAGTCAATATTTATCAGTAAGTAGCTTATCTAAATGAGGAGAGAAGATTGAATGTCATTGACATATACAGGGTGAGTTTTAAATGAGTTCCCCCCCTACTTTTTTCTACATTTCTTAAGATATCAACTCCGGACCACGTCAGATCATTGAAGAGTAGTAAGTACTTCATTTTGACTGGGTATAAATTTTGGCCGCCATCTTGGATCCCCCATATTGGATACAAAGGTTTTTTTTCAAATGTAAAGGTAGGGTTGTGACACATCGTTTTAAGCTAGATTTTTATGCTGAATACAATGCTGCAATTCGTTTTTAAAAATCTTGATCCATTCTAAAGTTATGAGAACTTTTTATAACATTATTTTTAGCCCATTTTAACATTGTGCATTTAGAAACTAAGAACATAATCGCAAAATAGTGCTAGATAAAGATAAGTATACACCACATAATAAACATAAATCTTTTTCTAGCACTATTTTGTGATTATGTTTTTAGTTTCTAAATGCACAATGTTAAAATGGGCTAAAAATAATGTTATAAAAAGTTCTCATAACTTTAGAATGGATCAAGATTTTTAAAAACGAATTGCAGCATCGTATTCAGCATAAAAATCTAGTTTAAAACGATGGGTCACAACCCTACCTTTACATTTGAAAAAAAACTTTGTATCCAATATGGCGGATCCAAGATGGCGACCAATGATCTGACGTGGTCCGGAGTTGATATCTTAAGAAATGTAGAAAAAAGTAGGGGGGGAACTCATTTAAAACTCACCCTGTATAATATTAACAGTATGGTTTTTTTGAGATAAAAAACAATATATAGTATTTCGTATTTTACGCTTCTTTTCCATGTGAATCCATCTACTTCTTGAGACCAACTAAACAAAATATCAATGCATATGAAGGAAGACTACATTGTACAAGATAAAGAAAATAATTTAAAAATTTTACAAGCCTCAGAGAAAGATATTTAACAAAATATTCTTAAATTAGATTTGTGAAGTGCTAAAACACCAGAGATGATATTTTAAGATGAAGATGATAGATTATATTTGAAGATAAAGATGAATGTTAGGGTCAGTTCTGAAAGGATGATAATTAATCATAAATTATATATCATATTATGATCTATATTTTTACCGACTCAGAACAGTTGGTTCCTTATCCAAAATCATTTGCGAGCATTATTATTAAGGACACATAGTCCAATTTTAACCTTGAAATCCAAACTAGGAAAAATGTATTGTAGCTTGAATCAACTTTACAGTCAAACAGTTGAAAGGAAATGATAGTGAAAGTGGGTTTCTTCATTGCATAACAATTGATGCACAATTTTCAGAAGGTATTCAGAAGGGTGTATTAACAATAGTAGTACGTATCTGTCATAATGTTAAAAGAGAAAAACAAAGTTACAATGTCCAAAATCTTATATAGTCTGTTACACTAGGTTCCGAAAAGGCCTAACATACTAAGTCATAGTCATACATTATTTACAGTGATCATAAAGATAAATAAAAGAGTAAATGTTTTAAATGACAAAATTCAAATTTAAAATGTTCTTTCAAAGTCCCAATGCTATCCACATTAGCGGCTAGGGTATATACACACGTTTATATAATAACGTTTATATAATAGTTTGGGATACTAGATACAAGGAGCATAGACCAGATCCTCGTAATACAAAACAAAAATCATCGTTTGCTCAGCATTTGGTCGATAAAAACCATGATATGAACGATATTAGTAAAGGCCTTGAAATCCTACATATTTGCCAAAAGGGAAGCAGACTTAACACTCTCGAAGAATTCGAAATTTATAAGGCACAGGTTAATGAGAACAACAATTTTGAGAGCTTAATTCTGAATGAAAAACTTAAATTCAAATCCCATCACATTTTCAATAGCATATTAAAACAAAGGCAGAGTTCGACGCCCATTGGTCAGCAGTCCACATCAGCTGATAAGACAACACCGACACAACTAGTCCAGTCTGCATCCTGACCTTGACAACGGTGTGCGTGCGTCCTGCCCGTGTATTTAATAGGCCTATTTAAAGTTTTATTCGTTTTTCGTAATGTTTTCGTCCCGTCCGTGTGTATGTGTTTGTGTATGTACTTTTAGTAGAAAACAATGACAAGGATTTCACCATCCAACTGCAACGTTTTGACAATGGCCGATACAAGCCGAAACATGTAAACGACCTTCAATTAAAATGAGCTGTTTGTCGGATTTATAAGGTATGTAATCTATTTATTATATTATATAATAACATACCATAAGTCCATAACCTAACCTAACTTGTGCAGTCCAGAATCTGATGAGTTGGTAGAATGCTCAAGAAATTTCAATGTAATCAAAAAGTAAAGATAATATGGAGTGAAAAAAATTAAGTGACAAAACCTACAGCAAAAAGTGTGATGCGATTAATAGCGCAATTATTAGTTTACATGCCAAATGTATTGATTCAATATTTAAACCAGTCTTATATTCTAGCAAAAAATATCTAGTAAACTTGTCCTCGGTATGTAACTTTGCTGGCAGAGTTCATGGTGTATGGAGTATAGGAGGTGAGACAGATTGAGGGGGCTGCATGTGATGATGTGATACTTGGTGGTGGAGGCTGCCTATGCTCGTGAGACATGTTGCAAAATGCTTTGTCGTCATTGGTTTCTTTCTCAACATATGTGACACGTCAGGGTGGCTGCCATTGGGTATGCAGTGAGTCATCGCGTGCAGCTTGCTCAGTCTGGCCAACCTACTATACTCCGTACATCTTGGGCAGAGTCAAATTTTTCCAGAGCTTTTTCAATAAAAGTTATTGAAGAAGTGCAGAAAGTACACTGGGATAGTTTACAAGTTGTGTCAGCTATATTGTAGCCTGTAAAAGTGTAATTGAGCCTTAACAAATTGAAATTAGCTAAAACAGTATGGTTCACATAGTTCCCTTAAATTTCTGATTCTTATTTTGATTTACCTGTTCCAAATGCAGTCAAACCTAAGGAGAACTAGTTTTTAACATCTTGTAGAAAAGCTTAAATGATTGATTACTTTAAATTCAGTTATGTTTAAAAATCCCTGAATTTCAAACTTTTTCACAATTAATTATATTTAAAGTGATACTATTCAACTTTAGGACTCATATTCCTATCACCAATGTAAAACAATCGTTTAATAAGGCAGAATTAAATATACATCCACTTTACAGTATCACATTAACATACTTATAGCTATGTACAGTAGCAGTTTGAAGATTGCACTGCCAAATAGCGAAAACAAGAAGAAACGAGAGGGCTATAATGATAAAACAAAACAAAACAAAGAGCATGCTGCTATGAAAGCAAGAGGGAAGATAAATTAGAAAGTAAAACACAGAACAACGAGAGAACCAACCTCGAGGGGACAAGATTGGATAGTGAGTGCTTCTGATGGGCACAGAATGAAAGGCATTGGATAAAGTCCTCCTTGATAAGTTGTTCAGGTGTGTCGGGGCTATCAAGATCCTCATTGTAAATTTGGCGCATCTTTTCCAACCGATGTCTAACAAAACGAAATCTCATTAGAAACGTACCACTACACAGCAACTTCTTTATCAACATGGTATGTTTTATACGTAAAAAAATTGATGCGTTTCAAAACACGAGATGTATGAAGTGTGGATTAAAAAAATTCTATTTACAGTTTCACCGTATTTAATACAGGGTGGCTACAGAACTCCTGGGAAAAAATTCACACATTTTTCCTGGTTTCCCAGCAGCAACACCTGGTTATTTCTGGTTGTGGTTTCCATTCGCCAAGTTTACCTTTTTATCACGGGTCTGTAGATCCCCGACATTTTGGGGTCGAGTCAGGCCAATAGACGGCAAAAATGATTATCAGGTCAAGCTCGGGTTGAGTTTAGCCAAGCCAAGCGTATATTTCTGCGATCGCAGGTGGTTTTTCATTGTTTTTCGTGATAATGGGAAATGATGATGCCGCCGTGACCGCAGAAGTTGATCACGATTTTACCTTAACCTCCTAAGATGATCACGATTTTGACGTGACCACAGAAGATAGACACAGTTTTGCCATGACCGCAGAAGATGATCTATATTTTTTGTGACCGTAGAAGGTGTTTGTGATTTCACCATGATCGCTAAAGATATACTTGACTATTCATTCTAAACTGCGGAAGACGTTAAAGATTTTGTCGTGACGATGTTCATAAAGTTATAACAGTCAAGGTATTTCATGTGCTAACAGAGTTTTATGAGTGTTTTCACAAGCAAATACATTACGTTGCTGGGTGTCAAAACCTTTTAAACTCCTCTTAAACCTTTATTATAACAAAATAGCATCATAATCCTAGTGAAATTTTCTAAATTCTCACATAGTTCCCGAATTCTGACTTTTACCCAGGACCACAAATTTACACAAAACTTCCGGTTTTCCTGGAGTTCTCGGTCTGTGGCCACCCTGTTATAGTAACTTATGAGTTGTTCATAATTGGTTTTTCATTTTAGTTTATGGCCAATTTGAAAATATTAGTGTGAATAATGGAGCTCAATGAGTTGTTATTTACGCCATATAAGTTATTATAAATTTCGCAAATCTTTATTTTTTGATAAAAAACTTGCAATTTGTAAAAAAAAATTTTAGTACGCTGGGTTTGAAGGAAAGTAAATAGTAATTGAACAATAATTCAAAGGGATAGAATTATAACGAAAACCAATCAGTTAAATAAAACAAAACAATGATGTTGGGGTGCAATTTATAACATGGTTTTGGAAAAAATAACATATTAAAAGTGATAACGAACAACAATAAATCTACTAACAATTTGGACAAACACACAACTTAAAATATAACAATAGAGTAATAAATATATCTATAACAGAATGAAATATCAATAAAAGTATAACTAAATTAGTTTTGACAAAATTATATAGCAGTAGCATGCTATATTGTTAAACTTAGCAATATCAATGAGTATAGCTCCTAGGAAATTAACAGTGACCTTGTTGATATAACAAAAATATATTTTTATAAATTAAATATTTTCTTCTCAAGAGCTCAAGCCAAAAAGAGCATCTTTAAAAATATGTTTGTGCAACAGTTCTTAATATTTTTAGCCTTAACAATGAAGATAAAAGCAAAGCTTGCTTGAAAAAACAACACATTTTAACAACAGTAAGCTTAAAGATATAATATTGTACAATCAAAATGTAACTCTTTGATTAAATATATTTTTTCATCAGGATGGTTTGATTTTTATTAGGAATAAAGGATTTTTTTTAGTTTTTGTTTTTAAGAATATAAGAGTACCAACTTTTAATTATTTGATACCAGTCTTTACAAATAGCATCATAATATTGGAATATCAAAGATGTTAAAAATGTATTTGTACTAATTGGCACATTTTCGTATTTTTAGTTTTGAAAATTTAGAGTAGCCTACTGTACTTTTTGAAATTATTCAAAATCTGTTTGTTTATGATCCCATCCAGTATTTTATTTTTACTTTAAAGAGCTAACAGAGTTAAAACGAGTGAACTTCTTTCCAACATATATACACACTTTTTTTAACTTATTGTCTCATGTTTTAATTACATTTTTAGGAACAAATTTTAATAAGAAAAAATATGGTTACCTACCATAGTTTATTAGATAAGACAAGTTTTATTTTAACTTCAGGCTGAATCTTTGTACAGCTAAAACATTGTAGCAAATTTGAAAAAAAAAAGTTAGACAAATTGTTACACGCAATAAAGCAAAATGATCTAACAAAAAATGTTTTCAAAAGTTATTGTGCAATAGCAAAGCATGTGTTGTGTGATTTTTAAAGAGCTTGTCTTTTGAAACAAAGGCCCAAAGTGAAATGTGCAAAAGATTTAAAAAATAAAGTGGATACTGTCATAAATTTATATCACTTTATTGCTAATAAAACTTAGATAAGAGACTTTTAATTTTGAGGTTAAGTATTGTTGGTAAAATAAAGCATTTTCTGCAACTAACTACAAAAAGTTTACAATCATACAAAATGAAATCTTACTGCAAAAGATTTAAGTTAGCTTGTCGTTAATGATCTAACAGTGATCATTAAGGTATAGTTTGGGAGTTTTTTTTCCAAAATTTATCATGAAAAATAGTAACTAGCCAACTAAAACTCATCCAACCTAAATCTAAACCAAAATACACAGCTTTACATCCAACTGTTTAATCAATCCTAAAAACTAAAAGCTTATTAAGACACAAAGGGTAGCAATCTTCTAACATGCTGGAAAAAACCAAATTTTCAACCGTTGCCACTATGACCGTACCTGAGTTTCTCGAGGGTCCAGTAATGAGTCGCCCCGTTCTTGGTGTCAAGGACCTCGACGGCAACAATGGTTCGAGGGAACGGCCTCTCCTCCTCCTCCGCCTCATCCTCGGCCACTGGAATCATGTCTGGAGGTAGAGGGGAGTAGAGTGTGTCGGTGAGCAGTGTGAATTGGAATTGCACCTGTAAGTGATAACATTCAGTTAGGCTGTAAACAATGATAAATCTATTAAAACACCTTTACTGAGTTAAGTGTTCTCCTCATACAACAGCTTTTTACAACAACCATTGTCACGATATTTACAATTTAAAATTACATAATATTAAGAGTTTTGTGGGTCCCTAGAGCTACCGTCTAGAATCAACGTCAAAATATAATGTAATAAAATAATATAACATAATAATAATATAATGTAATAAAATATAATATAATAATAGGTTTCCAACCTTTTTTCCTCAAGAGCCACATTGTAAAGCTTTGGCGGTCAGGTGGGCCGAAACTGGTTCATGACCTACTATTGTTGGTATCTAAATAAATAGTTAAGTAGCTTTCAAAAATTAATAAGAATATTTTCATGGCATAAATATCTATGGTTATATGTGTTGTAGAAAAAAACATTATCTAACTATGTAATTTATAAAAGTACTTATTTCTAACTGGAATTTAAGAATCGGGAGCCGCTAAATTCAAAATTACAAGAGGGAGGTTATGTTTGTGGACCAGTTCTAGTTCCAGACAGTTTTCACCATTCTCATACGGATAAGATATCGAAAATTAATCAAATCTTTTGGTGATAATCTCTAAGGTTCGACTTACCCTTTTCTTGAGTTCTACAGAAATAGCATTCGCCTCCTTGAGGAATATTGCATTCCCCCACAGGTCGTCTCGCAAGGATGTGAACTGATGGAACTTCCACTTGCGGTAAGCCCAAGAAGCTAACTGGTACTCTCGATCAGTCCAGTTACAGGTGGCTTCAAATAGTGGATTGACTGAAAATAATTCATGAAATGAAGCTTCAAACAACCAAAGTGTGCATAGTATTTATGGTCTGGTAGGAAAACCACAACATTTTGTGTACTTGTTTTATTTCTAAAAAAATAATATGAATATAAAAAAAACTATGAACTTACCAAATATACCATCTTCATTGCTGAAATCTTCTGGGGTATAAGAGCTGATCATTGACATGGTCAAACTTTGTTCTTCAACTTGTTTTTGTAGCGCATCAATCCTTGCTTCGTAGTTCTGAAACAACAACATAGCCATAAATTTTATGACGGCCAATGGGAAACTATAAACAAATCACTAAAATAATAAACATGATGATTACTTCATGTGCAAATGAGTTTGTCATATAACAGGAGTAAGATATAACTCTCCGAATTGAGTTGTATTATCCCTATTTGCAGGCATAATAATGTCTTAAATTGTGACTACCAAACACCCTGTATATGTACCTGCTGTTGACATTTTGACAAAAAATGAGAACATAGTCCAATCAGTCACTCACATAGTGTGCTGCTGTCTACAGTTCTATTTCTTCCTTAGTATTTGCTACTGTGAATGTTGATGTCACAGAAAAGATGCTATAGTGTATAATACCCTTTAGCTAGATTTCCTCAACAATTTGGCGTAAGACAATTACTCTGTAATTTTCATCAGCAGTATACTGTTGATGGCTAAATTTAACTTTATTCAGTTTTGCTCTGAAACTGGCTACAACTGTAACATGGGACTTTTTGGTTCTTTTAAAGGTCAAAGACATAGTTCAAGGAAGATGAATACCCAAATCTGCTAACAATGCATGGACACGAGGGGTGGACTCCTGGTCCAAGCTTTGGTTGACGTCACCCCTCTCACAATACAAATGCATGGACAAAGTACCTAGTGTTGCGAAAACTTCTTCTTGTTCATTAGATTAGGTTCAGCGGCAGCCACTAGGTAGACTATCGCAAGCGCGCGGCCAAGTCAGCTGACTGAGTGAAAAAGAGTGAGGGAAAGAATCGGCATAGAGAGAGAGAGAGTGAGATAGAGTAGCAGGGCCACCGCGTGAGCAATCGTAGCGGCGGCCACGTGTAGCTCATTTTGATGGTAAAATTCCAGTTCGACTATTCTCCATAAGCATTTTGCTTCTTAAAGGGTTTGTATTTATTGGCCTACTAGCAAAGCAATACCCAGCTGCCACAACTCACCTTCCTCTGTTCCTCGAAGGCCTGATCAGCTGACTCCTTCTCTTTACGGAACTGCTCCTCCAACGTGGCCAGCCGCTTCTGCATCTCCTCTCGCAGGTCAATGCCTTGCTTCTCCAGCAGCTCGATCTGGGCAAAGTTCCAATCCACGGTCTCTCCGTTGTTGGGTGTCTCCGCTGGCGATTTCTCTGTGCAAAAACAAACTTTATAGTTGGAAATTAAGGAAAAGCCAATTGGCTGATTAGGATTATTATGTACAAGGATATGGAACAGCTAGCTTACCTGGTAGATAAGAGTCCAGATTAGCTTTGGTAACACACACAAAACACATCACACAAAACAGTAAAACTTAATATTTTGTCCCTGTTAGGGACTTCAAGAGAAGGGAGAAGAAAGAAGACTGGCAGTTAAAGCTCAAATTTAAAAGTTTTTGTGTACCTACGTTACCAAAGCTAATCTGGACTCCATCTACCAGGTAAGTTAGCTGATCCCTATCCTTGTGCATACATAATAATCCTAAACTTGATAGTTGATACATTGAATTGAAAAGATATTCAATTTATCTGTCTTGCTTGAAACACCATCTTGTGCAAACCAATGCGTCCTTCCAACATTTTGTCATAATTATTGTTACCTTTCAGGATTTTTGTTTCTTATTTTGACTACTATGATGTTCTCTGTGTGGTAATCTTGTTATTATTTGGTACTTCCTCATCCGACAGCAGGATCAAATTCCAGATTCTTAGAGGTTTTTAAAAGACTGTTTCCTAATTGTTTAGCACATGAGAATTGTTTGACTCTTTCCTCAATCAAACTTTCTTTCCCAACTTTTAACTTATCCCCTTTATTCCCTTTTGAATATCATGTTCTGAACCTACCCCATTCTCAATAAGGTTTTACAAATATTCCAAAGAAATCACCCTCTATAGCAGTTGCAACTATAAAATTAGTACCTACCAAAAACTATTCTGAACATTTTCCAAACAATGAAAAAATACTGTTTAAAAACTGGTTGTCAAATTTACTGGGTTGAAACATCATGACATAACATTGAAAAATCTTCCAAACAACCGTGTAGAACCTGAATAAGATTTAAGTATAGGGAAAATATACGTATAAAATACCTTTAATTTTGTCTTCTTTTATTTCTTCTGAGTTTAATTCATTGATTTTGTTTTCTCTCCTTTCTCGAGCTAGAAAAACATATAAGAGTTAGTCACATTCAACATATTGAACCAACAATAATTGGAGTACAAAGGTTTTCATATTGCCGGTATATAAACCATATGATTTTATAAACAATTTTGATATCCATCAACACACTTATTAAATATAAATTTAGATCAAACTCAAAAAATTATTACTTAGCCATAAAATAAAAAAAAAGTCAATCAAATTGACACAAAATTATCTCACCCTGGTCAGGATGGTTGAAGCGGAACACATGGTTTTTGCCCAAGATGACGCGAGAGCCGTGTTTAAGTACGACTGGCTCGCTGACTTGACGGCCGTTGACGTAGATTAGAGCCCCAGACAATGGTTGAAGTGTCACCTGCAAACATACGACATGAACTAATCACAGGTGAGTTCTGCTTACTTGCTGGTTTTGGAAAATACATTGTTTTTCTTAAACATCAACTTCCTGTCACCATGACCTTCTGATCAGTTCAAAGTCAAATATTTCCAGCCTTGTGCAATGTGTGCAACCCTCTGCAAACACCCTACTTATGCACATTTTTAAAAAGGATTTCATAAGCGGACCTTTCTGACATAGTAGATCTGACAGTAGTTCTGCACAGTAGTGTTTCTAAGCACAGTAGACGATTCATATTTAGAAGGAGCAATGATTTTCCCCCCGTTATTCGCTAATCGCTACCATGACAAGACTAATTGGAAATTGGCTATAATAGTAGTGGATGAAGTACTACTTGATGAGGTAGGACTACTGACTTGGATGAAGTACAACACGGCGTAGTCTTGCTTGACTGCAAAGATAGCTTGTTGGATACCTTAATTTACAAACATGAATAAAAGAAGGAAAAATGAATTACAAATTACTTACCACGCTTTCCTTGTTCTCAAATGTACAATGCTCGTTCTGTATGTGCGGCCCGCTGAGCTGGATGTCCTGAGTGATGTTGGACGAGCCCGAGCCGACACGAGTCACGCCATCCTTGATGTAATACAACAGACACTCCGACATGAGCGGGTCCTCGTTGAGGTTCACCAGATGTGGAGTCTGTCAAACATTAAAAACTGATTAAATACATGTTTTTAATACTAGAACAATAAGCGAGTTTAATGTGCAATTTGCGTGAGTTATTACATACCCAATCGTTCAACAAGTAGTGTATTAACTCGTTAGGTGCGGTTGCACGATGGTCAGTCGTGGCCGTTGACTAATGCTCGATTGAGTTCGCAAAAATGTTTAAATTTAGTCTAATCCAAAGGAGAGGAATATTGTAGCATGTACTGTGTTCCAGTGGTTGTGGACGTAGTTTTAAAGGAACTCAATGGATAGCAGTGCTAAAAAACTGCTAGCAGGCCCTCATTATTTGCCAAATGGAGGGAAAAAGCTAAGGCGAAAAACCCAAATCCATAAAAAAATACCGCAAAAAAGGCGTCAAGCATAATTTTGAGGTTAGGTTCCTTCCACAATGCTGCACTACAGTAACAATTAATTGTATTCTATTCAACTTCACTAAATCAAAGACAAAAACCCACACTACACAAAATTTGGAACAGTTCCCCACCCCCGATGGAATTATCGGATCTAAAATTGAATTATACCGGATTGAAGTATTAAACTGGCACAACAAGCGGCAAGCGACTCAACATTCCCCATTTGAGGCTGAGCTCACACTGAAACAATACTTTACAGTTAGGAGTGCTACATAGTTTAACGTAGTCCGCCGTGCGCGCCAGTCCCTCACTACGTTAAATAACGTAGGCCGCAGTCAACGAGTTAAGTGATTACCTCTATGGTTAGAGCGTTGTCAAACAAAGGTTGAAAAAATATTTTCTATTTACAAATTTTCACATTGTCTATTTTCACTAGATCACAAGCTATGATAAAAAATTACCTACCTCAAATGATATTATAATATAACATCATATGGGATACAATATCACATCATATTTGATTATACCACAAGATTTTATATGAGGGTAAATGGTCCTACCTTTTTAGGGGAGAACACTCCCACTGTCATGCCGTCCTCCTTTACTGCCACTCCCATTTCTGCAAACACCGCCTCCCTCTGGATACGGATGATCTCCGTCTTCTTCAATTTGTCCTCCCACGTCTCGTTAAGTTCTAAAATCATAAAAAATGCTTTATATATTTTGAAATCAACATTTCCCATTTCATTATTTGAAAACCCATCCATACAGAGTAGTCTTCATTGCAGGAATCACAAGGCAATCAGACTAGTAGATTTGACACCAAGGTAAATGAAAGTATTATTATTATAGTTGCTAGATAAACACTTAGGCCAACACCATCTAGGAGTGTATTTTAAAATGAATATGAATGAAGTTGAGTGTAGATAATGTTTGGAGTAAAATGGTCTGCATAGCTTTTTACAGACTAAGATCTACTGTCTATTTGGCCAGGATCATTTACTAAACCCAATGATGCTGGGATTTAAAACAATTTCAAACCATCAAAAAGCTACAGACTTTACTCAGGAGTGAACTAGCAACTTCGCTATAAACACTATAACCACTCGACTATTTTGTAAAACAATTCTTACAGTAAACTAGACGCTGCAGCGGTGTGCACCGAAACTAAACGACACTCCCAGTCGTGGACGCAAGAATATAATCTAACCACAGCACTGTTGTAGAGTCTATATTAAATTCTTTTCTCTATGCTAATATTTAAGTGATATAGAGTAAGTTTAAATTGATTTCTAATTTCTATATTTTTTCATCACTAATATCTATACTTATTTAATACGCAAGCAGGTTTTTTGTGACAATTACTCTTCCAAAACTACTGAACCGATTTACATGTTTTTGGTGTCATTGAAAAGAGCCTAAAGTAAAGTTGTGCAGGAAACTTTCTTTTTAGGGAAATAATTAGAGAGTGAGGCCCTGGAGCCCTTTAAAGTTTCGTATTTCTCCATGTATTTCTCCATAAGATTAACATGGGAAACAAAAATTGTTATGAAACTCCAGCTGTTGTCAGAAATTAAAAGTGAAAAGAAGAACATATGTTGATTTTAAACAGTCAATAAGTTTGCTAATTTAAAAGTTAGCTAGCCCTACAAACATTTACTGACTTGGTAAAATGAAATATTTACCATTTGAATAATTTGGGTTGGCGTAAATATTAGAATGGAAAAAAGCAAGAGAGCCTGGATAATTTTATATACTAAAAAGAAAACTGAATTAACACTGTGCTGCATTTTTTAGTAATCATTGAAAGAGCCGATTTGCAAACTATGGAAACATAGGAAAGTCATAGAACACCACCAAGAAGAAGAAAAAGAAACGTTTTTTTTTAGAAATTATAATCCTTATTATGGACAACCAAATGCGGCTATGAGTAGGCCTAAGGCTATTTGTAGAAAACACTAAAAAACAAGATCAGCTTTTGAAAAATGATAAGATATTTTTAAGCAATGTTGATTATATATATCGATCTGTTATGTACATCTTGAGTATTTCCATAATCTTTGAGTCGAATCTTTTAAAGTCACCAGAAATTATGACTGTTATTCGTTTTAAAATAACGCCTGTAATACTTAGCAGTTGCTGGAATTCGAGCAACAGGGACACTGGTCTTCATTAAATCTATTTCAAAATGGTGTTTAAAGCACCTTAGTATATAGAAAGGCTTTGTATGCCGCAGTATGACATAAAACATATCACAACATCATAAGCCATTGTAACTTTAAACTATCCATCTTCTCGTTAAATTATAGAATACATGCATCAATGGGAAGTTAAGAAGATTTTCTAACCTGCGATCAGCTTTTCGCTGGCCTGTAGTCTGTCCACTGTGTCTTCAGCGTTAATTGATGCTTGTACCATCTCTTTGGTCCCATTCTCGCCTTTCATAACCTTTAAACCTTCCTCCCCTGTAAAAAAACAACCTCATTCAAACATTTGAACGCAATTTACTTGATTATTTTGTTAAGACAAAAGGGTTATATTATTTCAGATTACAATATTGTAAATATTACATTTTAGTTTAATTTAGACTCAAGATGGTAAAAAATATATAATGTATCAATTATCAATCATTAAGATGGGGACGCCACTTAGGTGCGTATTTTAACCCAAATATGAGTGAAGGATGAGTGTAGATGGTGTGAGATGATCTGTGTAGCTTTGTTACTGACTAAGATCAGCTGTTTCATTAGCCAGGATAAATATTTATTTAAAGCCCAATGATCAGGAACAGCTGGGTCCAGTTTCGAACCATCAAAAAGCTACTGACTTTTCTCAGGATCGAACCGGCGACCTGATTAGTAGGTGAGCACTATAACCACTCTGCTACCCAGCCAGTTATAAACATAAATAACTGTAATAAACCATTAACAGTTAAATTAAGTAATACCAATTCCATTAAAAAGTGAATAATAGATGATTGCTAAATACTCAAGAACCTATTAGTATATCTATATCTTATATCTTGCTGAAATTCTTGTTGTCTGCAGGAATAGAGTACAGTTTTTCTTGATGGAATCACATTTTAAAATTAAATCTAACTAACAACTTGAGGAAACGGCAACTTTTAAATTGATTAGAAATTACTTAAAGTTAGGTTTGCTTGAACAATGTACATGCAAGAGCATTCCAAACTACAAGTGAGAGGCATTGGTTTTAATGTGTGTATTTAAAGCATGTACAGGAAGCATTTAAACAAAATGCATTAGAAGAAGTAGAATAAAGAAATAAAATAGAAAATATAAAATTCTCTTGAAATTTAATAGTTTTAGTTTACAAACCAAGCCTATTGTGTAATAAAGCAAACAACTGAACATTGGCCAGCCTTGGTAAATACATGACTATAAACACCTACTTAACCTTAAATTTAAATAGGCATAGGTATAAGAGCATAGTTTTCGGTTATCACTTTCACACAAACAGTGATTTGAATTTATTTTCATGGAAAGTAAATAAAATCCTGGCTGTGTTTCTGTAATGGCTGCCACATCAGTTACCGCGGACCTCAGCCTGGGAGGATACCTCAAAGAAAATTTGTTTCTCTTGAAAATTGAATTTCAGCAATTATTTATTAGATTATAGATTTTAGCTTTTACTTTCAAAATCTGAAGACTGTGCGTTTAAATATCACAATTAGCACGTCATTGCTAGGGACAATGATAGAGCCTCAACGATCCCGAAAGAAGTTCACGATTCCTCCACTATGGCGGAAGATGTCCATGATTTCACCACATTCACGTTTGGCATGCAGATCCCTATTATTATTACTATAAATCAAATGGATTAATTATTTATTAGCTAGTCTCCGAGTCTTTTCGGTTGATTCGCCAATCAAATCTTTAAAAACCAATTTGAATCAATGCCACATGTATTTCTACACCCCTTAAGCTCCAGCTACCGATGAATCTGAATAGAGAGGCCTCTCTAATGTGAGCTGCCGGGTCCTCATACATTCTAAATACGGCCCTGAATTGAATATGCATTTATTTGGAATGAGGATTTTAAAGGTCAAACAACGTGATGAGCATTACGATTTTCATAATTCTGTTATTCATTATTTTATGACTCATAGGCTCTACATTTTGAAAGAGCCTCATAAATTTTGAATCTGTGAATTCCCGCAGAACTACAGAAGAGAAAAATATAAGTGCAATCAGGACAACCATGAAGGGTTACAGTAACAGTATTAACAGTAATCAACAGAATTAATGATAACGGTAATTAACAAGACACAGTATTTAAACAGTATTTAAAAAAAAATAAATCTTTGGTGTTAATACAATCTTCTGTGCTTTTTCTACTTGGTTTCCATTACAAACTAATTACTTTACACATTCTATATTTCGTGAAAATCTTAAAATAAAATAATGTTTTAGTACCTACTATAACTGTAACAATATATGTTGTTTCAAGAACCTTACTGCTCAAAATTAAAAGCTTTTTTATAATAACCATCTTGTGTTCATTAAGTTTGATTATTCTTGAACTATTACGCAATCGTTTAGTTTATATTTTAGCAGCTTCAATTAATAGTAACTTGAGAATTTCTAACAGACTTAAAATCTGATTCCACAACTACCCTTGAACAAAAATAGCAATACAGCAGAAGAGTTTAAACAGATGTTGAGCGTAATTGCAGTGTTTCCACATAAAAATTAAGCTTAACACAACAACATTACTCTAAAAAAAATACTGTGTTAAAAATTTAAAATAAAACAGTTACAATTTGAAAATAATTGAAACAGGGACAGTATGCATTGCTAGGCCAAAGATTGTGTGGCGAAGCGGGGAAGCAATGGCACAGTTCTACTTACTATTCTCTTTAGCCTTTTCATAAACGACTTTACCATCTGGCCCTATCCGGGGAAAAAATAACAATCAGTAGGGTAAAGAGTAAGAGAAGGTGCTGAAGTAGTCATTGTGGGAGGTTAGTGCTGCTATCCTTGGGGCCTTTAGGTTATGAAACTGGTCATGCTTTAAATTACTAAAGAGGGCGTAGCATTCTCAAATGTTTGTGATTACTGGTTAAATGTTACAAAAAATTTGTAAATACTGTTTTACAGATGCATCAAGTAAAAGTTTGATATGAAGTAAATTTTCTAAGAACGTTTGTATGTTTTTTAACACAGTAAAATCATTGTTTGTAACATTGTTACTTGCAACAATAGTAAAGTTGTAACACATAATTTTACAAAAATATATTAGATTTCATAAGTTAAGATATAAAATAATAATCAATCAACGAAACTAATCGATCATAGGAAATAATATCTCCTAGTTTGGGGAACCAAATGGGTTTCATTATTTAACTTTAACATGCCTCGGTTCCTGAAGATATTATTTGAGGTGAAATACATTTTGCCACCAGCGTAGCATACATTTTTACGCAGAATTGTAAATAATCATGTTATTTTGAATCGTAGAAAAAGGAGGATAGCAGCTAGCTTACCTTAGTGTAGGTAGGCCATAGAGCATACAGAAGAGACACTGTACACAATATTTTAATGCTTGAGGGACTTTGTCAAGGATATAGAGAAAATGGTAGAGTTTACAAATTACAAATTCTTCAAGGTAAGCTAGCTGCTATCCTCCTTTTTCTACAATTCAAAATCCTGTCTTAGAGCCTTTCCTTGAACAAAACTAACCTTAAACAATCATGTTAGTTAAGATTTGCTTTTACGATGAACCAAAACCTTTTGTCATTCGGCCATATTTAACATAAAGTTGACAATAGGTAGAAACAAGAAGAGGGCTAGGAACATTCCCCTAACAAAAACATCAAAAATGCCGCAAGCTACACACAAAATAATGATTATTCCCCAGTGAGTGGCAAAACATACATCCCCACAAACTTTAACTTCAGGAACCAAGGTACAAATTGAAATTATAAATCATCTCACACTGTTAGTATGTGATTGTTCAAAAAACGTAATATACAATAAACAAAATTAAAAGAATACATTTATGGACAAATTTCAGATTTTATATTCACAATAATCTAGTAAATAGACAAGGTTATACAGTTTTCTCATCACCGAGGATATAAAGTGTATATTTTACAGTACATATATACAAGGGAGACCCGTGCAATAACAAACACAACACTTACCTTCTTGTACTTCAATGCCTTCCGCCTTCAGCATGTCTCTGAGCCGTTGAATCTCCTCCTTCAGTTCCCTGATTAACTTGGCGTTGGCATCTTCGTTCACCACTGCCTTACATACAATCTGTTTAGCGCGGTCGGCATACCTGAAATTTATACAAGATTATATTTGAAAAGACACAATAACATACTCCAACATCTAGCTAGTCAAAAGATAAGTATAAAACAAGTTTCTTAAAATACAAAGTGCCTGTTGAATTTAGAAATTTTCAAAATCTGTTTACATTGCCGCACTAATTGATTTAAAACGTTGTATGTAGCCTACAATTTAAAAAAATATTTGGTTTTCTGATATCCATAATTTATAAAGGAGAATCTCCAGAAATTTTCAAGACTATTTGGCTAGAGATAATTTCACCAACTACAAATCTCCTAACTTGAAATATTCTGAGCAAATCGTATGCTAACATAAGTTGACACCATTAAATTAGTTCCATCATGTCACAAAATAACAATATCAACTTATCCTCTCTGATTTTTTATCAGTTTGTTTTTGAGGGTAATCGATGCACTCTCACACTTAACATGGAGAAATTTCCCACAATCAAAAACCCTTCTTCTAAACATATCGCATTTAAAACTTCTTCTGATTACAGTTAATTATGTAAATTGTTGTTTAAAGGAAGTAAATCAGCAAGGAAATTTAATTATTGTTAAATATACACATGAATTAGAGTCATAAAAAGGTTGGATAAATTTGGAATATGTCATGTACATTACGGTTAAGTCTACATTAATCCCATCACATCCATGGATTTACCTAAGAGTAGAGAGGGTCTCGTCATAGTTGATGTCAGCAGGGCTGATAGCTGCTATCATTGCAGTCTTGGAATTCCCTCCAAGGTTTTCTCTCAGAAGCCAAGTCAGCACGGAATCCCGGTAGGGAATAAAGTTTTCCTTTCCTTTTTTCTTGTTTTTCATAGCCTGGAAACAAAACAATAATCAGTGTAGGGAAAATTAAACTTCTGTAGATTACGTTGCATGTGAAAAATTGCAAGCAGTTTTCTTGACGTTTAAATTTACTGATTCAAGCGAGTAACTCTTTTTGAGTCAATGACTAAACTTAGAGGAATATTCAATTATTGATACTTACAGACTGATTTATTCCAAAGGAAGCGCCAGGAATCACATGAAAAACACAAAATTAATTAGTAAAACCTTCAATAAAAATAAAATAGGCTCATAAAAATTAAAGACCAAAGCTGATTTGCCAAGACCAAATAATCTCATTAGTATTTTAACATTGTAAATGAAATATTGTAGGCACAACATTTTATCAACAAAACCAATGTTTGATTAAGTGTTGTTTGTAAATGAATACTAGATGTGTAGCTATTTCATACAGCAGATCTAAAGAACAGCATTATTATTTTTCATGTCTTCTTCCCAATCAAAGCTGAGTATAGCAGCTTGTAATGCATGAAACTAACAAAATCTAACAGGCCTAATCCAAGTAGCCTTACCATTCTTATCAATACTCTCAGTTTTATGAAAGGATTCTTCTAAGATGTCTGAAACAACATCAACTCACCACTTCTGCCAATGCAGATATGACTTTGCCCAAAGTGGTCAGACTCTTGTTGATGTTTGCCCCCTCTTTCAGTCTCGTCCCCTTCGCCCCCGTAGAGTCGGCTCTCTCCGACCCAGCCAGGTCTACCAGCGAGATCTTGCTGACCTTCTCTGTCGTAAGCTCGGTCATCTTGTCAAACCTCTGTTGGGTGAAGAATATGGTGAAAACTGCATGTGATCTGCTTGACGTCTCGTTCATGTTAGTGGCGGCCACAGTTCTGAAAAATATAAATCAATGCTTACATTGTTGAATTGAAATAAAAGTGTTGTGAGGGTTTAATGTAGAACACAGTTGAATCAGTCCAAACCATACTGATTTGAATTAAAAATGTGATTGTAGGATTATTCACGTAAAAAAATTAATTGTGTCAACAATGGCCTGATAGAGTCTCTGTAAGCTTGCGGATGATCTGGTTTTAAGTGACAGTATGTTTGGACAAATTCTCTATGTAAGGTCCCACGAGGATGCTCTCTTGCTCAGGTTAAGTCAATTTAGGTTAGGATACGTTATATCACACCTAGCCCTATTGCCCTCGTCTATGAGGTCATGGATGACCTGGTGCAATGTGAAGGAAAGTTTAGACAGATCTTCTACGAAAGGTCCAAGTAGTGAATTCTCTCTAACTCAGGTAAGGTTAGGTTATGTTAGGTTATGTTAGATTACATAAGGTTATGTCTCACCTAGCCTTGTTTCCCTCGTCTATGAGATCGTGGATATCCTGGTATGATGTGACAGCTAGTTTAGACAGATCTTCTACGTAAGGGCCAAGTAGTGAATGCTCTCTAACTCAGGTAAGGTTAGGTTATGTTAGGTTATGTTAGATTACATAAGGTTATGTCTCACCTAGCCTTGTTTCCCTCGTCTATGAGATCGTGGATATCTTGGTATGATGTGACAGCTAGTTTAGCACGTTAGCTGCCACGTCACCCCGATCGGGGTGCCACCAGTTGGCTCGTATGTGAGCACTGTCACCCCGATCGGGGCGACAGTTGTAATTTGTAAGGGTTTTTTTCTTTGCCGCTATTTGACAGTCTTTGATGTTCAATGGCAGTCAAACATTGTTGCTTATAAATACATACTCCAAGCCAACTAGATATCAATGTTATATTGCATTCTGATGTTTATAACATGTCCAAACTTACGTCACAAAGTACTGAAATGTTGTCACCCCGATCAGGGTGACGCTATTTTTTTCAACAATTTGGTCTACTCTTTATTGAAATATGTACCATAAAATGACGTAACGTTTCTCTTATTCAGTTGGTGTTTATATTTTATACGGGTTTTTTGTATCTTATGACTGAAATTATGTCCTTAACCAAAACATAAAAGTAAGTATTTGGGTTATACTGATGAAAAACATATAAGAAAGAAAACAAACATATTTTTTAAATCTTTTATGTCAAACTGTAAACAATATTACATTGCTAAAAAAACTAAATATATGTATAATAATGAATAAAAACATGACCATTGTTGCTGTGCTCGCTCTCTGATATTGACAGGAGGGTAGGTTGAAAGTCAGGGTCGATGTCCATTTCGTCGTCCCTGTCTGACTCATCATTGTCTTTAGCACTACCTCCCAAAAAACCATCACTCAGATCTGCAAAATCTAGTTCACTTGACATTGGTAAACCCAAAAAACGTTTGATATCTTCATCACCAAGATTATCACTCATATTGGACAAAAGCCACGACACACTATGAAAACCAACACGTAAACTAGGCTATAAATAGCTAAAAAGTACATCACAAGAAGAAGTAAACATAACACAGTCGAGTAATAAGCAGGTGTTGTTGTCTTCACACGCCAAAATGCCGCTACTGCCAACCGAACAAAATGAAATACATCCCAAATGGTCGAATTTCAGTGTCACCCCGATCGGGGTGACAGCGATTTTTCTCAGCAAAGTTTGACTGAAAACAATCACTGTCACCCCGATCGGGGTGACACTTTTTCCGCCATTATCTTTTAGGTATTTGGACAGATAACATTATAACTAACCTAGATAAGTATAAATAACATCATATAACTAAAATATTACGTGAGCATATAGTTGGCAATGCAACAATCCCCCCAGAAAATAGCCTTGGCAGCTAACGTGTTAGACAGATCTTCTACAAAGGTCCAAGTAGTGAATGCTCTCTCTAACTTAGGTTAGGTTAGGTAACGTTAGGTTATGTTAGATTACATAAGGTTATGTCTCACCTAGCCTTGTTTCCCTCGTCTATGAGATCGTGGATATCCTGGTATGATGTGACAGCTAGTTTAGACAGATCTTCTACAAAGGTCCAAGTAGTGAATGCTCTCTCTAACTTAGGTTAGGTTAGGTAACGTTAGGTTAGGTTAGGTAACGTTAGGTTATGTTAGATTACATAAGGTTATGTCTCACCTAGCCTTGTTTCCCTCGTCTATGAGATCGTGGATATCCTGGTATGATGTGACAGCTAGTTTAGACAGATCTTCTACATAAGGGCCGAGCAGTGGATGCTCTCTCACTCTCAGGTTTCCCTTGTTCTTGGGGTTCAACAGATCTCGTACCCTCTCACAGTAGATCTCCATGTAGCTTACCTGCATAATAGTTATGTTTAATATATAATATTTTACAGCAGGTAATACGGTTCCATTTTACAAACAAAAGTAAAAATTATTATTGAAGATACATACATCATCTATAATTTTAATTGATTGAAACATTAAGTATACAATTATTCTAAACAATTTAAATAGGGGCTACTCTTTTCTTTTAACGATCTTCAATAATCTAAAGAACTGTTTTTCAGACAAAACTTACACCCCAGATAGAGGGATTCAGCAGTTTAGGAACCTCTCTAAGGCCCTCTAGATTTATTTTATTTCTGTTAATAATATCTTGATTTTGCCACTTGAGAAATGCTCCCTAAATAGTAATTTAATTTATCAATCTCGTTGTGCTTACTTTGACATCACGTTGTGATTTGACATGGGCTAAATACAATTTGTTATATAAGTGAATGAGACTGCCCGGTGAGAAAAGCTAATTTTTGCAAAATTTTTAACAAGAAAATCTTAAAGAGTATTGAAAAATCACTCAGAGCAGCGTGATATTCCGGTCATTGTGTATTTAAATCATCAAGGTCTGCTTATTCTTCAATTTATAGAGTTGATATAATAGTCTTAACAGTGAGTAAAGATGATTTTCCAGTGTTCCAACTTAATTTCATGAACTCTAATGGTTTTTGAACAATCAATCATTGTCTACCTCTACAGAGTATTTGAGCTCGTCACATGTGGTTTTCTGTATCCTCTTGAACAAGTCTTCACATATCTGAGGGATGATTCCCTCCTCCCCCTCCACCTCCTGCCGTCCCATCATAGTGTATGACTTGCCAGCTCCTGTCTGACCATATGCGAAGATACACACGTTGTAGCCTGCAGCACGACATAGGAATTAGCTTTTGAACACCCTGTCTATATATCAACCGTAACCACTTTTTATTTATAAAGAGCATAGTGGAATGATCCACTAACAGTGTGCTGCTGTCAAAATTATAGTTTTTCATTCCGTTTTAACAAATCGCTGATTATTCAAATTGCTTACAGGAAATAACCTAAAACTACAGTAATAAGAATCGTTTTGTTTTAAATCTGGCAGATGCTGTGATCAAAGCAAAATCCTGAACATTTCTATAGTTGTGTAGACATGATCAACATCTCTCGGGGTTGTTGAAAGTCATCATTGCAATGGCGGCAAAAGCGTTGATTTTTCAATTGCAAAGTCTTTTCTGCAATCGCAATATAAATGCTTGGCTCCACTGTATAATGTTGAGGGATCTGGTATTGATATGCTGACGGATTTCACTAATCTGAGGGGCTCAATTGTGAGTGTAACTCATTATTTGCTACAAATAATAATTAAAACTGTATAAACATGTTTTTCTAGTCAAAGTTTAAATAAGAAATTTGAATTAGGAACATAAATGTAGCTTTTTTCAAGCAAACAATCACTTTAACAAATTTCATCCCAGCCTATAGGCTACCTTGCACTTTAACAACAGGCAATGACAGACAAAATATGTGGTTCATACAACAAGTATTAAGTTAAATAAACATTAACACGTTAGTTTTACCTTCAAAAGCGTGTTCCAGCATCTCCTCTCCAATGTCTTTGTAAACCATAATTTGTGATGAAAAATTGGGATCGGTGGTCTGAAAAATACATAATACAAAATCAATACAAGGATTACAAAGTATTACTTAAACTAGTTTAAACAATGATCCAATGGCATTGATACAATGTATACTAATATAAGCATCAGTAAAGAAAAAAATATTTGTAGCGTAGTGAAATAACAGGGGAAGGCATCCCATTTTAGCGAATTTCCCGTATAGGGAATAAGCTATTTTTTACCTGGCATTGATTTGTAAATAACTTGACTTTCAACATCTTAAACTACATAAAGTGACTTATGATAAAACTTTGACAATGAAAGAAAACTGTTGTTATCTAGTTAGAAAGGTTATTGCAAAGGTTAAACCCCTATTGTAACAGATGATGTGTTGATAATGCAGAACTAAATAAAACCTCATACACTTTCAATACGAGGTTCACAAATTTGACACACAATACATATGTCCAGAAACATAAAAATAAGGCTATATGTATGGATATTTTAATAAATACAAACAATATAAAAGTTTGTGATATTAAAATTCCAGACAAGATGAACCAAGGTTTTATATTTATGTTGATTTTTACGTTAGGTTGGAACATAACTTTGAAAACACTATAAATTTAAACGAGTATTTAAGATGTATCCATTTTAACCAAACAAAAAATATTGATACAGTATTTGAAGTTCATTAATTATGAGTCTATATATTTTTTGTATTAACAATGAATGAAATATAAAATAGCAACCCCTACTCTTACGTGAAACAATGAACAAAGAACTTTTAGTTAGAATCAGGTAAATGATGAATGAGCATTATACACACATCCGTCAGATGAGTTTGCTGAAACTGATATGTTCTTCCTGTCAACCTTCCTCAACTTTGCACGGATATAACCAGTCTACACTTGTTATAAGTTCATCACAAAAATATATATTTTTCTACAGTAACTTTACTTTTGTAAATTAGATTTGGATCAGTTTACAAATTCCTTTCTCCACATTCTCTTACAATACTTGTATATCCGTAGCTTAAAAGTTTTGAATTGTTACAAAATTCTTTTCTCTCAATTTGAACGACTAGGCCAACTAAACAGGTTTTCAATTTTGTTAGAGACATATATTATTCATGCACCAGCAAACTTACGAGAGAGCACATAAATATAATTGGAAACGCTAAAAAAACTTATTTAAAACATAATACTTACATCATGGGACCAGTATGAGTAGTCATAGTTGAAGCTTTTGATTGCATCTTTTGTGTTTGGTGGTGCTTTTGGGTTTGTTATGGCTGAAAAATAAAAGAGAAGAATATGTGAGGGCAATTTTAATGTTATTAGTAAGAAAAATGAAATTCAACAATGCATACTGTTGAAGACGTGTGTGAACTGTTAAATAATTAGAGTATTTCAAAAATAAACAGTAACTTATCAGCAATCTGACACATAATTTCTCCCATTAGCTTGTCAACAACCTTTAACATGATTAAGATTGGAGTAACTATTATAGGGAAAATCACAAAAGTTGCAATAAATTTTGAACTAAAAATTGTTTCAGCAATGGGAGGGTTGCATTAATTTGTTTAGAATTATAAGGACCATAACACATTTATTTTAATCAAAAACAGTTTTTTCTAAATTCCAATTTGTTGTTATTTATAGGTTTTTTATGGGAAAATAACAAAGTAACAATAACTTTTGAACCGTAATTTTCACGGAAATGGGTTTTGTACCATTTTGTTCAGAATTTGATGGACTATAAATCTTTATTGGTCATTAAATAACATATGTTACAATAGACCTCGTTAACAAAAAAAGGGCCATAGATTCTAGATAGTAGGCTATAACATGGAATCTTCACTAAACTTAAATATAACAAAGACAACAAGAAAATAAAGCTAAAATCATTTGAAAAACACAGAACTATATATATGAAACAAAAGTGAGGTACTTAAACAAGTGTTTGAAAGACTAGGTAACAGTTGACTAGGGACTAAGTAAGAACTAGATAACAATTTTACCATTACAATTGTATTCTGCAAAAAATTCATCTAAACTGTAAAAGGGGTGGTCAGCAAGCCAAACCATCAACTTTTGTTTTAGCCGAGTACAAGGAATGTCAAGTATTTCACTTGCAAAACAATTTACTATTTTTACTGATATACTATATATAAATAAATAATATAACATACTAATTATTTATGAAAATCTTTCAGGCCATTTTTGAGAAAATCTGATTTTCCCGTTATTTTATGGGAAAATCTCCATAAAAAATTAAAAACGCCTGGAGATACCATGGATTAGTACCTAAATACCAAATTTCATCAAAATCGGACTACAGGTGTTGTCTGTAACTCTGTACACATCCACACACACACACATGAACACACAGACATCACTACGAAAATCACTTTTTTGGGTTCAGGGGAACCTAAAACGGATATATCCACTCAAAATTCAAACTCGAAAATGTTGACAAAAAAGAAATACTTTCTCCATACTATGGTATAGCCCCCTATAGGTAAGTAAAAACTGCCTTTTTCAACATAACAACTAATAAATAACTTACAACCTAATTACCTACGTTGAAATGTCACAGTAGAACTGATAATGACAAAAACAAAGGAAATGTTCAATTTATGGCAGACTAAACCGTCCTTAAAGTTCTGGAACTGTGAAGTTTTATTGTATACAAACCGGTTTATTAAAAAGTTCCAATAAAACTCAAAGTTAAACTGAATATTAAACATTTGAATGTGAAAGTCCTCCAAAAATATAAATAAAACTTAATGACCAAACCAGAAAAAAGTAGACTTCCACAGAAGTTTTTAGAGAAGAAATCCTTATGATTTTTTACTCTAAACCCGAACCGTTTTAATACATTATCTCAGGCTAAGCCTAGATGGTCATAAAATTATCATAAAGTTAAACGCAAAGGAGAACATATGTGATCTTCTTATAGTCAAAATATATTAATTATTTTGTGATTGGTGGGATTTGAGCCTGTGACCTCAGGACCAAAGCCTAGCCCGGTCCATTTAGTCAAATGGTCCAGATCTAACAAAAATAAAAACACTTTTGTATTGAGCCATCTTGGTTTTGTTTTACTTTGTTTTCATTTTTTATTAGTTTTTCCGTGTCATTTAGATTCTTGATAAATCAAATAAATGATCAATAAATAAATACTGTAAATGATAGATCCTTCGATGACGTGTTCCTGATCAATCTTTGTTTGTTACCGCTCAATCGACTGCTTTTTCTATTCAATATACTCAAATAACTTATTAAAAATTCAAACTGTTTTTAGACTTCAACAGAATCACTTACGATATCTAGGTTAAAAACCTCATAAAATTACAAATCAACAAACCGATGTCCAAAGAAAAAACAAGTTAAAGCCTCAAGTTCGACCTAAACCAAAATTTTCGGTAGATTCTTAAATTCTCATGTGATCTGCAAAGTGACAAAAGAGCTGTCTGAAGATGCATGGACGTAAGAGGCAGAGAAAACAAAAGCGACACAATATCTTAAGAGGTTCAATAGCTGTAGTGTTGGTAGTGCACGGTAGTGGAGGGGGAGGGGGGAGAGAGGCATGCTTCAACGGGTGGCAAGAGGCAAGTTTTGATCAATACAAAGCTACCTTCACCTCAGCTGTGCACTTAGACAACGAGTCTTCCATATGTTGCTCTTTGGAGGATTTGATTCCCAATTTATCGTTCTCGCTCCGTTTACTAACTCATTGACAGTTTTGTTGCAGCTGTTCTTGTTTATTTTTCCTATCCACTCTTATATCTTAGAAATCCACGTAGGAGATTTCTTTTTATAACAAAATTTTGGAAGGGTTTGATTTTAAATTTATTCTAAATCATTCACTCATCCATTCTAACATCTTAAAAAACATCATAAAAAATATCTTTTAGGTTTTTTATATTTTTTTAGTTTTCAGTTGATTAACAGTTTTCTATTGCAAGGTAAATTGTACAGTAGTGCAGCAAGTTATTAATGGAACAAAAATTAATGTGTCTGCTATATACTTGGTTTTGGAGGGTTTATTTATTAATTTATTTTTTCTTACTCCGTTTAGTAACTCATTGACAGTTTTTTTGTGTTGCAGTTGTTCTGGTTTATTTTCTTATCTTCCATCTTGTAAAACCCCTTATAAGATTATATTAAGGTTTTTACAATTTTTTGGGCGTTGATTTAAGATTTTCTAACGCATAGTTAAAAAGACCTATACAGTATACCTGTGTAACGAATTACATATTCCAATGGAATTCATTGAGTTGCAAGATTATACATTTTATCTTGAATACATTACTGCCAACTTTTACTTGAATGAGAGAGAGAATCGTGGGTATTGAGGCCATTGACAGTGAGAAGCACTTAAGCTTTTACCCGAGACTGCATTTGCCGTGTTAGTGGCCGTCAGTGGAATATACTCAACTTGTGTTTTCCAATGATAAAAGGTTTATATATACCCAAATTCATTCTCATAATTTTATGTGGTGAATATAACTGTATTTTATATGTTGTAACTAAAAAAAACTATATACAAATACAATTTTATATATAATAGCATATTTCATAACTGGAGACTATTTTCCAGCAGAGTTTGAGTATCATCTCTTAGCAAAATTAGCGAGGGTTGAAAAGAATTTGATCTCTTGTGATGAACTATATTTTTTGTCAAATTACAACATTATTTAGTTAACAAACTGGGGCCCGGTTTCTCGATAATGGTTTGAACTTTAGAAACAATTTAACTGCTAGTTTAACTGGCTCATCGGTTTCTCCGTTGCTCTTTGGAAGTTTAACTTTGGGCAAAAGTAAAATAAAAATAAAATTAAATTAAAATAAAGTCTAAAAAAAAATTCCAATTTGTTTTCAATTTTGGTAATGCAAATAAACCAAAGTTGTTTAGTAAGTGATTCAACAATTTCATCAAAAATAAAGAAAATAGAGAAGTTTGTACATTACATATATTTGGTCTAGTTTTATTTATTCAATAATCTAACTTACTGGTAGTGTAGCCATTCATTTCAATGATGCATTTGCTCTCCCTGGACACCTCCCTGTTGTTGAAGGGACGAACCCTCACAGCTACCTTGACCGACGACATCTTGTGTGGTTAGTTCTGAAACACAAAAACACAAAAGTTGAAAAATGAAACCTGAAAAAAGCCTTTAAAATTGAGACTGGTAAAATTAACTTTTGTAGAAGAAAACCTTTTTTAGATGATAATTCAAAAAATTACAACCAAGCAACAACTTGTTAACAATATTGTTTTATTAACAATCACTACAAAAGCATACAAAAAGTAATAAGTACAGAGGCATCAGGTGGGCATCATGTCAACTGCGGTTTGAGCGCTGATATTTCTCAGGATTGCAAAAGGTAGCAGTACTGTAGTTAGTAACCTTTAACCCTATCTCACTATCCTATGAGATTCCTCATTCAGATACATACAAACAAACTTAGATGTACAGTAAAACCCGTTATAACCACACCCCCTTGTATGGGTCGAGATGGCTCTGTAGACGGTCGAGTACCGTGTTCTTGCTGTTGAACAGATTTTTCAGAAAAAGTGAATCTTTTGTTACGGTGTAATGGTACATGTTTCGACAACATTTTGGCGTAGCCAGTAACGGACTGGTTCCTGATTGCAGATCAATATCACTGCATTTCGGACAGCAGGATCCGTCATTGGTGGTAAATCTACTCGTTTTCCACGAACGGCAGTTCATAAAAAACATAGAGACTGTTAGAGCGTCAGTGTTTCTAAGTCCGCTACGTTTTTTATGGTTGTTTTTTCTAATTTAATTTTTTTATATATTTATGGTTTGATTGACATAGCCTACTTAGCACCTTTGTAACTTACAAGGTTATTTTTTTAATGGAATATTTGAAAGTGTTCAAAAAAGTAAGTTGGTAAAATTTATGTGTAAAATCATTGCGTTATATTCATTTCAAATCCAACCATCTTTTTTGCACCACCCTGTAGTAAATAGAAAAATTATAATGTGTAATTTTAACATGTAACGCAAGTGCAAACTGCCTTTGCTGCACTCCAGAAACTTTCCACACTCGCCTACGGCTCGAGTGTAATAATTTCTCTCATGTGCAGCAAAGTGCCACTTCGCCCACTAGTTACACAAATAACTATTGTATGATAACAGACTGTATTATTTATTACTTTATCATGTTTCATAATGGAACTTGATGGAACAAAATTTGATACTTGTATGAAAATCCCTGTCATTATGAGCTCAGAAATAGTTATGATGCGATGCAGGGGCGGAGTTGGAGGTTATTTGTCCGGGGATTCTTGAATTTTCTGCCAAGATCTTACTGGAGGAGTCAGAGGGTATGAGATAATCCCGTTTAGAGGGTGGTATGGGACCCAGAAAATTGATATTTCAGTGATTGAGAATGCTAGTTTCAGCCATTTTTGTATATAAAATTTAATGATGAAGCTTCTTGTATTTTGGCAAACTCAAAATATTTTTATGGTTTTTATCAAAGAACAATGGAAATACATTTGAAGCAGTATCTCAGAAAGCGAGTAAATAGTAAAATAATTATGTTATTCATAGTATTAATTCTTTGTATTGATCATGCTTTTGACAACACTATCGTTGGTAAGGCTTGTACTAAACAAGTATAGCTTTGGCAAATTTATTTAATAAGGGAAAACATAACTTCAAAAAGAATTTTTCATTAACCAGGAAAGTTAATTAGGTACTTCTTTTACAAAGTGATTGAGTAAGCAAAAGTAGATGAAGCAGAACGTTTTAGGATCTTTCATTAACCTGAATAGATGAGAATTTCTCCATGAGTAAGTATTAACTTCAACTCCTATCTCCCAGTAGAGTAATATAAAAATTTAAAAAGTTTCACTCAAAATATGGTTTTAACAATTGTTTAACATAATTTTATTGCATAGCGTAACATTGATTTTTTTTACCACCAACAATGTTTAACTCTGTAATTTTCTTACAAAAGAGGGGGAAGTAAATCTAGTTTAATAAAAAAATTAGTTTCACGTTAGTGCTTGAATTTGTAATGTAATCTGACTTTAACCAATTTTAAATTTAAAAAAAAAATCAGAAAATATAAATTTTTTTCAACACAACAAATGTGGATCAGTGGCTGAAAACCCTTAATCTGGCAAATTGGGCTCTAACTGGAAGCCTTACAATGTCAGGTATTTGACCTCCACCTCAGAGTTAGCCTGTTACAAATAATTTGTGGGAGGTTAAAGTTGGACAAATAGAGGTTAGAGTAACACAAGATTTATATTTTATTAGATTCAAGGTTTTATTGTTGAGGGACTATAAACCAATTTTAAGACATACAATTTAACATTTTTATAATCTAAGGCTTACCTTACAATCCAATTGATTTATTGTGGAGACCTAGCCGTCAGTCCTAGGCTAAGCTAAACTTTTTGTTTTACATCTCTTACTTGAGATATTGTCGGTTGGATAGAATTTTAACGAATACAAACACTGAATATACATATATATTTATAAATACATAGTGGAGAACTGCATGGTCATGATCTTTTCAATCCTAACTGTAGCATTAGGTGTTTAATGGTATTTTATTGTAAAATGTTATATTTATTTTTTATTTATTGAACAATAAAATAACATCAAACTTTTAATCGCAAAAATACATAACTATATGGAGTGATAGCAACCATGCTAGAAGTTGAAGTTAGTAAAGTCATCCTAATCACGGTTCAACTTTGGAGGTCAGGATTGAAAAGATCATGGCCATGCATCTAAGTTCTCCACTATGTCTGTAAATATTTATGTATATTCAGTGTCTGTATTTGTAAACATTCTATCCAACCAACAATATCTCAAGTTAGAGATGAAAAACAAAAAGTTTAGTTTAGCCTAGGACTGACGATGACGCTCTGGCGTTGAAAACTAGGTCTCCACAAAAAATACATTGGATCGTACTTAAGGTAAGCCTTAGATTATAGCAATGTTTAATAATGATCCAGAAGCTATTTCTCCAAATACAATTGAAATAAGTAAACTGTCCTAGATGGAGGACACAAAAGGAAGCTTCAGAGGTGGAACAGGGAAAAGAGGTAACTCTTGGAAACCTTGTCTCATTGATACAGAAATAAGAACGATTGAGTGCAGTAACCAGGTATCTGATCTGCATAGTTGAGAGAAAAGGGGAAGACGAAAGGCTAAGATGATAACTAATGGTGTAAACTTATAGCACCGACACCACAGGGTGGAATTTAGGAAGAGCTCCCATCCTAATAAAAATACCAAAGGTAACTTATTACCAGAGTGGTGCAGGAGAAAAAAATATAAAAATCACAAATTTCAGATGTAAAATTGCATCTAATAGAAACAAAAACTAGCGTGTTAGTACTTACTTGTACATTAACAGCATAGACAGAGAAAAAAAAGTTAGTAAACTGTAATTACCCCCTGTAAAATGACTCCTTAGAAATGTCACATTTATTCCCTATTTAAATAACATTAGTTTAACGAGTACTTAGGTTTGCTGCAACAGGGAGGGTAAAAAGGTGTTTTTTTTTTAATGTGAATAGTTTGGTATGAAATGAATGCATTTTCCAAATCTGATCAAAATATGTTCATAAACAAGCAAACTAAAACAGTTTACTTATTCCCCATAAGAATAACATGGGAATTTTAAATTGACTGATTTTTGGAATTTTCTCCGTAACCATTAGGTGCATAATAATGCTTCAATATACTAAATTATTTGTTTTTTTATGCTCTACAAAATGGTTTGAAAATGAAATGGGTTGCTCGACCAGTGGTTGTGATCTTTTGCCTTCCCTCTACCTCGAACTCTCCTAAATGGCCACACACACATATATATATACAGTATATGAATTTGAACGAATGGTGTTTTTGGTCTCTAGGGACCTCAAAACAAAAAAGTTAATCGGTCCCGGGTCCAGGTATTACCATGAGTACTACGGTAATAGCTTATTCCCTATATGGGAAATTCGCTAAAAACTTCAACAAAACTTATGACGGCTAGCCTGGCCATACTATGGGACAGAATGACTGGTTGGTACCAAATGAAAGATATTTTCCTGTTGATGTGCAGAATCCCTTTATAAATTAAATAGGCTAAAAAATAAGTGCAAAAAATGAATTTGAAATTAAAAAAAAATTAATATGGGCATTATGGGTTTCTATGATGGTAACAAAATATAAACAGAAAACCCAAACAAATTCCAATCACATGGTTTATTTACAGTGAATTTTTTCAAGTATATAATTAATTGGAAATGAAACTGTTAAAAAAATATGTCGTTGCTCAAACCAATCCATTATTGGGAACGTTTATTAGAATTATCTATAATATTAAAACGTAACAGGGTTTTTTTATTTCACAATTCTGAATCAACCACTTGACGGATTTTCATGATTTTTGTGTTGAAAGAAAGATAATTTTGAGAACTAGGGAATTTCGAAGCCATAATTTTAGTTTAGGGTTTCAGTTTTTTAGAAAATAAGTTTAAAATTTTAAAAAGTCTAGCGGCCGACGCTAACATTTTACACTAGCTTTTGGTATAATACACGAATACTAGAAAAATACCGGAATGGATCATAAACATAAACAAATGACGTTGTTGGCCCGAATCCTATACTAACAGCATTGAACATATGTTTTGGCATTACCATTTAAGCAATGTTAAATAATGTTTAATACCATTTGCTTAACGTAACAGCTGTAAACTTTAAGCATGGTGGACACAATTTAGCATTTGGATAATAATGACATGCATAGGGTTGAGTTATTTATACTATGTGTAATGCTATACTCATTGATACGTTCATTTATTTGGTAAGAGGATGACAGACTATTTAAATATACATGGTAAAATGCTAGATGTTCTAATTTATTTTTTAGAGCAGTCTTTAAAATTTTAAGTTTGTTTTAGTGCAATATAATGTGTTTTAACTAACAGCTGGTTGAATATAAAAATATTCTGTAGTACTCTTAGGTTAGTTTATTATTCTGTGATTTTGCCATTGATTATAGGAAATGAGAAAGATTATATAACCACTGTTGTATACAAATTGAGGCTCTGCCCCCGAGTCTTCAAAGGAAATGTTATACAAA